AAAAAAAAATTCTGTATGGGAGACTAACTTGAAATGTAAACTTCATTTAATTACATCAATTACAAAAAATTAATGCCCAACATGCTCTTAATTACATATATTTAAAAAATGTATAAATCTTTGTACAGTTTCATTTAGTTTAAGCATAGAGAATAAACTAATTTGTCACAATGCTACTGTACTGGTAAAGCAAGGCAACTACTGTTAAGGAAGAAAATGGATATACAGCACATAACTGAGGCAATGCTTGAAAGTAATAGATGGAAAATCAAATAATGCAATAAATGTTTATCAAACATTTTATCAATAGGTAATCTAAAATAAGTGAGTCTTCCCTCAGTAAATTTTCATAACTTGATGCACCATAAAATGCTGTCAAAACTTCTGACTTACAAATTAAAATTTGTAAAATACAGGTTGAAAGTATCATATGTTGTTCTAAGTCTTTAAATATTAGTATCAGCAGACATTAATAATATCTGATTAACCAAAACATTCTATGCCCAACATTGGCTTCCTGAACCTGGATTTGCATTAATCTGAAATTTAGCTAATAAACTATGTACAAAAAAAAAAAAAAAACACTTCCTGGATGAAAAATACTCTTCCTTTATACCCCAAATTGGTGACAAGTGCTTGGCCATATCAGCAGTTTTTAGACAAACGGGTACAAAGCATGGGAGAAAGGTTAAGCTTCCCTCCCTTCCCCAAACAAAAACAGTTCCAGCAACTGCAAGCATCTTGAAAGCCACTTAATAATACAGAACTTTTATTTTAACAAAAGCAAGGGTAATTTTGATTTCCAAATGTCCTTAGTTATGAATACACCTAAAAACTTATTTATAAAGCTGCAAACACAATGGAAGTCTTTTAAAAGATCTTAGTAAAACAATCACCAAATAAATAGTACTGATCATAGTAGAATTATTCAAAGCTGTTGTTGCATAACTATACAGATACAACACACTGTTACACATACTTTGTTATGATTTCAATACCGAGAAGACAATTCTATAAGAGGTCAGTATAATGATCTGTTCTTCATCTAGGATCTCTGGCACTGAAAGCGTGAATAACACAAGGTAATGATGTCGTCACCAAGGGACGACAAGAATAGAACCCAAATCCCCTGACTCCCAAGCTGTATTTTCCACTAATTGTGCTCCTTTCTACTCATCCGAGAGCACCAAGTGTAAAGGGCTGGAGAAGGGAGTGGACATAAATGAGCCAAGTCCGCGAGGTGGAGACTGCACTTAAGGCTCTAAGGCATCACCTTTTGGCACTTTCCTTTTGTTTTGGCTGTGGAAGATGAAAGCAGCAACCACAAACCCTTGGGACCAAGAACTGGAACTAGGTACTATTGTGGTAACTCTCTTCCTCATTTTAGGCCTTTCTTTTTTCACCTTTCCCTTCCGGCCAAGCCCTAACGGTCTCTTCATCTCACTCCATTTCTATGCCCCCCTCCTGCAGCCCCCCTCTTTGCACATTATTGCTAGGTGTCCTTCGTAATAAGAGGCAGCTGCGCGGCGTTCGCCAGCCCTGCGGAAAGGTTCTAGGGGATCCTAGCGCAACACGCGTTTTCTCTAGAAAATGAGTGGTAGTGCAGCATGATATAAATGTGTTTCAACTGTTAGAAACTTAAGAGGTGGGAACCTGAGCATATACCAAGTCTGCTCTTCGTGGAGCTACGTAGCTCATTACGACAAAGCAAAATTTAGACAATAAGACGAAGAGTCTTTTCCTCTAGCTGGGAGCTTCTGCCAGTTCAACCATCCCCTGGGAAACTCCCACTAGAGTACGCTTTCCGGAGTGCCGGCGTTTACACTTCCCGTAGAAGAGTAGAGACCAACGCTCGCAGACCCTAGGATCTTCTAAACCGTTACTCCGCCCGCCGGGGTGGGGCCAGCCCAACGTCCAAGCCTGCGCAGTACGCCTCGCCAACTCCAGGGCCCTGCGCACTACAAGTCCCAGAAGGAAACGCGCCGCGGGGGCGGGAGACCGTCTTATCAGCCGCGAATTCTTTCCTTTGGCTACTACCGCACTCCCCCTCCCCCGTTGCCATCGGTCTCCTTTCCACACTTAAAGGCTACTTCCTCTTGAAGCCTATGAGGAACTACTTAGCAACCTCGACACTAAAGCTCTTCGCGTACTCGCTGTTTCTCCCTCTGCCCAAACTATGCTGGGGAGGCGAGAAAAGGAAGCCCTTGGAGGCCAAAGCCGGGCGACCCGGTCGTACTTCCGCCTTCCGCGCTCCGGAAGGTAGCGCGCACGCGCTCCGTGCGACTCCGGCGCAGTTGACTTCCGCTCCCACTGTGCCGTGCGAGCCGAATCATGGATCACACTGGTAAGGAGGCGGAGGCAGAGGGGGTCCTGGTTCCATGCCCCCTTGGCCGGCCTGGGGCCGGTCGCCCAGCGGGCATAGGGGGCTTACGTTCGCCCCAAAGCACTAGGGTGTGGCGGTAAGAAAGAAATTCCACAGGCTTCTCTCCGTGCCCGGCAGAGGCCTGCTGCTTCCCGGCCTACTGTCCGGTGCGGTAGCTGCAGCCTCAGTACCGGCAAAAGCCGCTTCTTCTCTGGCTCTAGTGGGCTCCGAGCCGGGACGGCGGGCAGCGCGGGCCTTGAGAGGAGGGGAGAGCGCTGGCTTTTTTTTTTTTTTTTTTTTTTCCTTATCCCGGGTGCTCTGACCTCGTTATGAGGATTGGCTGGTAGATTCCAATTTTGAAGTGGGGGAAGCGTCGCTCGCTCGCTGCGCTCTCCGCTTCGGCTGGGAGTGGTTGGGTGAGAGTAGGTTAGAGACTTCCTGCTGTCTCAGTCGGCTTCGGGCGGGTGCTGCTGTGGGTCACCTCCTGTCGTTATTGTCTCTCTGGTCCTTCATGGGCTGAATTGGAGAAGGGAGTCGGATATAGTTCTCGAAATATTACTCGGAGCACCTTCTCTCTCGGAGCCTAAAGCATGCCCCGCTCTTTGGTTATGGCCCTTATTTATCATTTGGGACTATTTACTAAGGAGAGTTTAAAATCAAGGAATTTTCATCCGTTTCTCCAGGTAAGATTGGCTCCACCCCGTTGTTATGTGTGGGTTTTTTTTTTTTTTTTTTGGCTTTTGGCGTTTGCTTCCTGTGGTTCGTGGATATTAAATAAAGTGCGGTCGAAGTTATAAAGTGTTCTGTACAGTTAATCATATCACAGGTAGGAAAAAATACTTTTTGGTGTCTAGGTAGTAATTGGGATGTGTGTTTTCAGCACACGTGTGTGTGTGTGTGTGTACACGTGTGTACTTTTAAGCCTCGAGTTGGAATGTTAAACAAAACTGAGTTCCTGCCCTCATGGAGATTACATTCTATTGAGGAAGATCGTAAACAAGCTTTGTAAAAACAACTTAAAATATTTACAAATTATGTAGGTGTTTTGAAGACAGTAAACGGGTACTGTGTTAGAGATTAATAGGAGGAAACTTTAGAGAGAATGTTCAGGGAAGGTCTTTTCTGGAAAGGTAAATATTTAAGCTGAAATCTGATGGATGGGAAGAATACAACCATGAAGTAAGCAGAAGGAAGAGTATTTCCAGCAAGTACAAAGGCTCTGAGGTATGGAAAACTTAAAAAAGGCCAGTTAGATGTAGCCTAGTTAACAAGAGGTAAAGAGCCTTAAGATGAAATTGGAGAGGAAGTCAGAGGGTGCAGGACCTTGAAGGCACTGATAAAGATTTGAATTTTATTTTAAGTGCACTGTGAAGCTACTGAACAGGTAGAGGAGGAACATGATCTCATTAAAAAGTAATAGGCTGTTCTATGGAGAATGGGTTAAGAGTGGGAGGCAAGGATAGTAGAAAATAGACCATTTAGGAGGAGATTGCAGTAGACCAAAAGAGAGATGAGATGGCTTGGTTTAGTGAGGATGAGTGGAAGCAGACCTAATCGGTAAATATTTTGGTGGTAGAACTCAATGACATGCTGATGGATTGGTTTGGAGGTATATGAGAGAAAGGAGAAATGCTTCGGTTTCTGGTTTGAGCAGGTGGGTAGATGTTAGTGCCCATTATTGAGTTGGGGAAAACTTGAGAGAAAAGTAGGCATTTTTTTAGGGGTAAAGGTGGGGCATAGAAATTTAGGAACAAGAGTTTGGTTTCATACTGCTAAGTTTGAGATGTATGTTGAAACATACAAGGGGAGAATGTCATGTAGACAATTGGACATTTGGAGATCAAAGGGAAGATATGGGCTGAAAATATATGTTTGAGACTCAGTACCTTATTGGTATATTTTAAGTCATGGGTCACTAAAGGAGAGCAAGTATAGAAGAGAAGAGGTTCTATAACCAGGCTCTAAGGAACTGCAGTGATTTGAACAGTTCATAGAGTTGAAACTCAGGGATTTGATGTTAGAGTAGCAAACATTCAACGCCAGCAAAATATTACTGATTTGAGCCTATGGAAATGGGAATCCAGTCCCCTCCACAGTGTAGAGGATGTTATGTTAGAAAATTGTAGCAGGAATGGGTGTGTATCTGAGTATAGTAAAAGTCATCTAGCATGAAAATCTTCACTAATGACCGGACTACTTAAAACATTAGTTGCCACTCAAGTATCTCTTCTGCTTGACACTAGCATCTGTTCTTTTAGATTATTTCTTTGTGAGTCAGTCTCCTTGATGTTTCATATTAGGAGACAATATCAAATGCTGTACAATGATTGTTAGGTAAAATTACAAACCTTGCAAAACATGCAGTTTTTCATGAAATTCATAACCTTGAATTTCGATAATTATTTGAATTACAAATAGAGCCATTGACCAGTGAGATGCCAGTTAGCCAGTTAAGTGAATACATCATGACAGGGTAGACATTTCTAAAGAATGATTTTAATATCAAAGGATTAAGAGAGGCCCTTGGGAAAATTGATGAAACCCTCAAATGTTATGCAAAAATGGCCCATCTAATGAACATGCTGACAAAAATGAACGTAAAATGAAGGCTGTCTTGTGGTGCCATAATAAAAATTTGCCAGAAAAATTATTCCAAGAAACTCGCAGTTAACACTGGATTCATTCTTTGGTCATTCTAAGAATTAGCACTTAGTTGAAACTAACTTAAACTTTGTAAAATATTTCTTGGTTCCTTTTTTTCCAAAATAAAATACTAGTAAAGAAATAAAAACTGTATACAATGAAAGTATTATTCCTTTTTAAAGTGGATTCACCTTAAGTGGCCTATTATCCTTAATTAATGACGACTTTCTGTGTAATACACAAGGTCTTTTTGTTACGGGCTTTATGTGTTTAGCTGGTATATTCAAAAGGAAATTATGCTTTATGGTGAAAGATTTGCATATTGCAGTATGCTCTGATTCTTAATAAAAACAACTCCCCAAAACAAATCCAGAGTGTTGTCGTTATTAAATGCTGTACTGTATTTATGAACTTGTAGTCTGTGAGGCAGACTGCAAGGTGTTAAGAGGCAGTTGTTCTTAGATGCCCTTGAGTCAGTTCCGACTCTTAGCGACCCTGTATGTACAACAGAACGAAGCACTGCCTGGTCCTGTGCCATCCTCAAAATCGTTGGCTATGTTTGAGCCCATTGTTACAGCAGGCTCTTGAAATTAGTGGTAGACTATGCAGGCAACAGTAGTTATATCAAGTGTTGAGGGTGGTGTGCAAAGAACTTGTAGTAATGAAGTGGTGGTATTTTCCTCATTTACAAATGTAAAACTGCTAGCTGTCCTTTTAATGTATGAAGGACAGTATTGAACTATTAACTGTCTACAACAACTTCTTTTTAAAGTCAGAAATAGCTTTTGAGCAGGAAAAAAAGTCATTCTGTCGTATCTGCCCTTGGTAATTGGATTGCTTGTAAGTACTGCTACATGGATTAGCAACTAGAGATAATTGCTTCTAAGTGCTGTCACATGGGTAAGCAATTAGAATTTCATTTGCATGAAATGAAATAACATTAGTCAGCTTGTTAGTAGTTTAGTGAAGTGTTGAAAGTTAAGTTGGTTGGGCTTACCCTAACAAGATTTTTAGCTATCTGTGTAATCCCTTTTCCGTTAATTTTTTGGGGGATTAGGTATTAGAAAATAGTAGAAAGTAGATGGCAGGACATTTTAAATTACTCAAATAAGGGCCTGTTTTGAATTTTGTTCTGTATATTGTTCAGAAAGAGTGCAAATGAATGTGAATTTTACATGTGCCTCTAATTCTAGTAGTCTTGGAGATTGTTAGTACTAACTTACTACTTCAAATTTGGGTTTACCTAATTTACTATGGACAGTTTGGCTGTCAATCTTGATTGTAGTATTTCCTACAGGAGTAGTTATCCAGCCTTGCTCAATAATTTGCCATATTCAAAACATTACAATTTTTAAAAATTGTTTGCATTTTGTGTTAGGGCAACTTTTTTTCTGTCTTTAGTAGGTAGAGTTGAGTTTTCTCTGTATTATATCTTCATATACTTGAGGTGAATATTTTCTGTATTGTAATATCTTCATATACTTGAAAAAAGTTGGCTCTTAAGCTTTGAAATGGAGTCAGTTCTATGAAATAATTGTTATTCATGGAGCATGAATTAATAATTTATTTCATAGATAATAAGCGGGAAATTTCAGGAACTAGAAAATGTCAGTTGTTTAGGCCTAGTCGAACAAACAGAAACTGTGTCCTGCTGAACTATAACTTTCCATTACAATGCTGAGAGTAACGTAGTTACATTTGTGTCTCTAGAAATGCTGTAGCACAAGTAACTTACTGCATATTTCTAGAACTAAATGGTGTTAATCGTTTTTACTATATTGAACGCTTTTTAGAAAAGCTGTTTTACACTTAAGGGGATACTGATGAACTTCCTTAAAACTAACTTCATTTAATTTTGCCATTGTCGGTGTTAGCTTTGCATGTCCAGTTGTATTGATTGTCCTGATGTAAATTCAGTTTAGCATATTTATTGAGTGCCTGCTTTACATGCTTAATGATCAGACATGGAGATAGGGATAGTTTTCTTCCTTGTTCTCCTTAATCGTTTTCTGTTTTTTTAAAAAAAGTCTCTTATAGTTACTTGAAAACAGAGATTCTTATCTTGGATTCCTGAGAGTTTGATGCGTCTGTAAACCCCTCTGGAATTACATAGAAAATTTTGTTGTTCACCTATGTAAGGAGAGATTCTGTATGTTTTATCAGCTTCTTTTAAAGGGTTCTATGTCTCAAAAATGGCTAAAGACGCATTCTTTAAGGGCTTATTCAATGTAGAGAAAATTGATAGTTAAACTTGTATGATAATAATGTTTACAATCAGAATGCAAATCTTCACCTCTCGGTAATATTGGACATGTTGCTTTTCTACCTGTGGCAGAATAATCTTCAAAAAGCAAAACTAAAAGAAATTGAAACTTTTGTTTTTTTTTTGAACATAGATAATGAGTTACAAGGCACTAATAGTTCTGGATCGTTGGGTGGTCTTGATGTTCGCAGACGAATTCCTATAAAGCTCATCTCCAAGCAAGCGAACAAAGCCAAAACTGCACCACGAACTCCAAGGACTGTAAACAGGATGCCTGCAAAGGCTTCAACTGGTGATGAAGGTAATTTGTTTAAACTAACAGGTCCAGCAATATTTCTATTATATCACATTCCACCAAATAACTCATGTGATTGCATTTACTTGTAGTACCTCTTTTTTTTTTTTTTTTTAAATCTTAGATACTCTATTCATCTTTCAGTCTTTTTGTTTGACTTCTCATTTTGGCATGTTGTACTTTTCTCTCCCTTTAGAAATATTTTTGGTTTAATTTCTTTTTTTTTTGTTGAAAGTAACACCACCCATTTTTTTTTTTAAATGTTTACAGTTCTGCAGAAAGACATAACATTAAAAGTAATATTTGCCCCTCTGCCCATTGTCCTTCTCCCCAAAAGTAATCTTCTTAAGATTGTTTTTTTATACAGAAGTAGTATTTTTTGTGTCTAACTCCCTTTTTTTCATGGAACATACATTTGAGATTTTGCCATATCAGTACATATGTGCACATGTACATTATTTTAAAAGAAAAAAGTTTACAGTATTTCATTTTATAGATATACCATAATTTATTTAACATCTTTTGGAGTCTTTTGCCATTATAAGCAGTGCTGCAGTAAATATCCTTTTACATATATCTTAGCATGTATAATTTGTAAAATTTAGACTTTCTGTGGATAGATAATTGTGCATTTTAGAATTTGACGTTTTAAAATTGCTCTTCAAAAAAGATGTATCGGTTTATACTCTCAAAGTTACCAACATGGGCTACTATTAACCTTTTAAATTTTGAAATTGTATAAGTTTCTTTGTTAGTGTGGTTGTATATCTTTTCATAGTATTGGTCATTTCTTTTTTCCGGATCTCCCTTTTCGTACCTGCTGCCCATATTTCTTTTTGGTTATTTATCTTTCTTACTGATTTTTATAAGTTCTTTGTAAATTAATAAAATTGGCCCTTTTTAATATATCCTTGGAGTCCCTGGGTGGTGCGCATGGTTAATGCACTTGGCTGCCAACGGAAGGGTTGGAGGTTTGAGTGTACTCAGGAATACCTTGGAAAAAAGGCCTGGCAATCTACTTCCGAAAAATCAACCATTGAAAACTCTATGGAGCATAATTCTATTCTGACACATATGGGATCGTCGTGAGTTGGCGTCGACTCTGTGGCAACTGGTTTTATATAGTCCCCATTTGTTTCTTGAATTTTGTACATAAAATTTTATTATAGAGATGTTTGAAGATTCTGTGTGGTCAGATATCCATTCTTCTCCTTTATGATATCTTAAAGAGGCCTTCCTCTATTCATGACTATACAGCAGTTTTCTTATCCTGTAGTACAAGAATCAGCATAGTACAGCCTGTGGAGCAAATTTGGCCTTATTTTTGTGCATAAAGTTTTATTGGTGTGCAATGACACCCATTCGCTTAAGTATTATCTGTGACTGCTCTCACATTATAATGGCATAGTTCAACAGTTGGCCACAAAACCTAAAATACGTACTATCTAGCCCTTGACAGAAAAAGTTTGCTGAGCCCTCCTTTTGAGCATTTGTGGATAGGTATTTGTTCATTTAAAAAAAAAAACAAAAAATGGGATCTACTTTTTCTTAAAGCAGCTAGCCATTTATTTCAACCATTAAATCTCTTTTTTCCTCGATGAATAGAAATCCCACCATTGTCATTTATTACATTTCTGAAAGTATTTGTGTCTACTACTAGACTTTCTATTCTGTTTCAGGAGTCTGTCTGTATTTTTTTTTTTTAGAATAAAGCTGCTTTAATTATTATACTTTCTAATATGCTTTCTTTTATGGTAAGTTTTCTCTCTCCACCATGTATATTTGAAGGCAGAATGTCATCAATTGTGGACAGTAGCAACCTAGGGCTGCTGCTACACTATCTGTAACTACCTAGGTGTTTTTCCCCCTTCCTTTTGGCTTTTTTTTTTTTTTTTTAAATAAGTAAGGTACAGTCATATTCTTGTTGTAATAAGCTCCCCCCCACCAAAAAAAAAGCAGAAAAGCTAAAATCCTCCTTCTGCCTTTTCTCTCTCAGATCCCCTCCACTTGCCCACCCATTTCCAGAAGGAACTACTGTTAGACCTTTAGAGGCTGAGGACAGTTTTTGGATACTTTAGATTCACCTATACCCTGGAGGAAAAAAAATTGTTTTTTTTTCCTAGAGATTGATCAGAGTATTCAGTTTGGATGCCAGTATGATGTCTGTACAAATACATTTTAATGATGGGAATGTAAGTTGAACTACTCTGAAAATGATACTGTGCTCCTAATTTCCTTGGCTGTTGATCTGCTCAGTAATTTTCATAGTTTGAAAAATTGATTTTTCTTACTTCAAGTTTCAGATGACACAGTTTTTTTTTTTTTTTAAATAAGGTGTTAAATAGGCTATGTAAGAGCCTACAGGACACCCATGAGTAACTCACGAAAACACCTTGATTTTGAACTATAGCTGTTCTTTGTTCCATTCATGTTGGAGTTTCTGTATCAAGTTTAAAAAATTCTTCTGTCATTGTGTGTGTGTGCTTGTGTACACACCCACCCATACATATACATGTATATGTATATACATATGTGGGTGTATATATATGTATAAAGTACACTGGTGCTGTAATTTAGCCATGAGGGTAAAGTTGTGTGCTTTGGCTGCTCTGTTTACCAGTGAGAAGCCTGGCACCTTGGAGGGATAGATTTGTCTTCTCAGCCTTACTTTAGGTAATTGGATTCTACCTAGAATTCTCATCAGACTATTCATTGGTTTTCTGTTGTTTTGTATGGGATGAGAGTATTGAGAGGATTTCCAGCAGCTTTTTAAGTAGGCCAGAGAAATTGACTCTATTTGATCTTCATATTATATTGATGTTTATGTATATGTAGTGTGGTAGAAGATACTTGTAAGTAGATCTGATATGGCTCCTATCTTTGGGTGATAAATCAGGGAGAGGTTTTAATTGAAAGCATGAGGTAGGAATATGTTGATGTCTCTAAAATCAGGCTCAGGTTGGGGCTGAAGAAGAGGATACCTGATTTAATCAGTCATAAAAAGAAAATCTGTAGAATTGTTTTCATTATATTCTTTTTACAATAAAATGACTATTGAAACGTGATACTACTTTTATAGATAGGTTAGAAAAAATGATGACCAATATCTTAAAAATTTGTGCAGCCAGCATGATGATAAACAGTAAAGTTTTATATTAGAGACATCCTTGTGAATTGATAAGAGCCTTTGGTTGGGAGTCTTTTCCCGGCTCTGCCACTAATCTTCTATGTGTTGAGCTATTACAAGTCTCCATGCTATAATATTCTCTGTTCTGAAGAGATTTGCACTAGGTGATCGCCAAGATCACTTCTAGCTGATGTTTTAAATTAGTCTTAATTAGCTTGTTCTCCGAAGAGCTTTGAAAGGAATCAAATGGATTTTTCAGTGAGTGGGTGTATTTTGCCATGTATGTATACCTCCATAATGAAATTTGGGATTTGGAAAGTTAATGGGTAACACTTTTTTCTTCTCAGAAGGATTTGATTATAATGAAGAAGAACGATATGACTGTAAAGGGGGTGAACACTTTGGAAATCAGCGAAGATTTCCTGGACACCTTTTTTGGGACTTTCAGGTATAACTATAAATAAAAATTAAAACATTAGAATATTGCAGAATGCATGAAGAATGTCTGGTATGAACTTTTGTTACAGCTGTGACTTTTCAGCACCCAAATCATTTATTTATTAATGCCCTGTCTATTTCTACTATTTTCAAAAATAATTTGAGGTAATTTATGGTAAGGTCAAATAAAATCAACAACCAGTAATGCTGCTTTAAAAAAAACAAACACACTAATGGTTAATGGTGAGGACTGTGTGGGGATTATGCCAAGAAACCTTATTTCTAGTTGTTTTAACAACTTTTATAAAATCCTAGCAATTTATTGTGTAAATTATAGATATAAAATTTAGAATTGGCATTAAAAGGAAATTTTAATTATTTATTTCAACAGATAAACATCTTAGGTGAAAAGGATGATACACCAGTTCATTTCTGTGACAAATGTGGATTACCTATTAAAATCTATGGGCGAATGGTAAGTATAACTCAGTTAAATTCTGTTTTTGTAAATGTAAACATTTGCGTAGAGGTAGGATTCTGAAATTGAAGTAGATAGGTTTATCATTGTTTTGCTTTTGTTGCTGGGTGCCAGTGAGTTGGTTCTGACGCATAGTGACCCCATGTGACATAGTAGAACTGCTCCATAGGGTTTTCTTGGCTGTAATTGTTGTGGAAGCAGATTGCCAGGTCTTTTCTTCCCTGGAGCTGCTGGGTACGTTCGAACTGCCAGCCTTTAGGTTAGCAGTCAAGTGCTTAACCTTTACACCACCATTGCTCCTTTATCATTGTTTAATGACTTTAAATTTGTGACATTTTAAGTAAGTATAAAATAGCTAAGGGAAATTCTGGGATAATACGAATTTAGTACAATTATCTTGATAAATTTTGAATTGCTTGTAAAATAATAAGAATACTAACTTCTGAAAACTAAATAATTTCTTTGGCCTGTTTGATAGCTCTTAGCTTACATTTATTATTTCTAGTTTATTAAGAAAAATATGTTTTTTCTTGCCTTAGCAGAGTGAAATTGGTTATTAATTTCTGAAGGTGATAACTTTTGACATAAAAAACTGAATAAATAACATAATTTCTGAAAATTGAATTACAATAATTTAAACATTTTTTATAAACCTAATTTTACAGTAATTTTGATATATCCTTTCTCAGGGAAAGATAGTTTTGTATTTGTCTGAGAAAAAATGAATTCAGTACACCTACTCCTCACTTATCAACTATTTTGTTATTCAGCATTTAACATTTACGACAATAGTAAAAAATCTACTGTCTGACTATTTTGTGCATTAACGAGGCGACGGACATGGCGGCAACGACTGCAGAGCATCCCCTCCCTTGAGGAGGGTCTCCAGGCAGCCTCTGGGAAGCTGGGCCGCACTGCCCAGTGCCCTCTGCTCCTTCTTGCTGCATCCAGGTGCTGTGCTGGGCTGGCCTCCTCTGTGGCCATGGCCTCTGGGTAGAAGTGCAGGCAGCACTGAGCCAGCGGGTTCCTCTTCTGGATTTCCAGCTCTTACGTGGCCTAAGATCCTGCAGTTCAAAATTGATGTAGGGTAGGAAGGGAGGAAAGAAGAGACGTCGGAGAGTGTATTTGGAAGAAATCCATGCAAGTTTAATGACACCCCAAAGTGAGCCAAACTGGGCCTGAAGCCTCTGCCTTGGTAGGGCTGAGTGTGTGGCCAGGCTTCCAGCTCCAAACCCTGGTGACTCACCAGGCCAGGAGGGCAGAGCAGGCTCTGGGATCGTAAATGCAGGGCTTGCAGGGGTGGGAGTGGAACCCTGGAGGCGGCTGCATGAAGGAAGCTCTGACCCAGCACAGAAGGAAGGTGAAGTGCTTAAGCTGTGAGCGCTTCAGTCACACAGCCTGGCGTTATCCATCTTTTTTATCCATCCAGGCTTCCTTCTCTGCAGAGGATAATCCATAACTGGACTCATCACAGTGATGAGCATATCAGTTAATCTTAGCTTATTATTTTTATAATCATATTTTCTAAATTAAAAAAAAAATTGGGCAAATGGGTGGTTGGAAAACAGAAAAGAAAAAAAATTCTACATTTTCACATAACTGCCTGGTCTTTGGAACCTAACCATGTCAGTAATTGAGGATTGGGTGTAATAATAAATCAGTGATGGTAAAGGGTATGGATTATGCGTTATTTCTTTTCTGTATATCGTAGCAAAGTAACCGTACTGGACTATGATATTAATAGTGTTTTAACATTTTACTGTGTCCTGATTTATTTTCAGATTGTTTTTAGTTCATTAGCTTAAGAATACCAGGGAAAAATGCTGCTTAAATTAAATGTAGGAGATATTTGCTACTTTATTGCTTTGAAATATTTCAGGAGAAACAAGATAAAACACAGTTATAGTACTCTTCATCAGGAGCTTTTAACCTGTCGGGCCCATGAATGACATTTTTAGGGTTTACACCTCCAGAAATAGTAAGCAAATGTGCATGTATATGTTTTTGGGAAAAGGGCCAAAGCTTTCCAACAGATTCTCAGAGATCTTTGTGACTAAAAAAGTTAGCCATTGCTTTTGTATTATTAGTACTTAATAAATGTTCATTTATTAAGTTCTCAAGGGTGTTCTGTGTGTAGGTCACTATGCTTGCTATTATTTCTTATGGGAAAATTTAAAGTTGTTCTAGTATGCTTAACTATATAATATGTCTCTGTTCACAGATTCCATGCAAACATGTTTTTTGCTATGACTGTGCTATTTTACATGAAAAAAAGGGAGATAAGATGTGTCCAGGGTAAGATCATTGTTACATTTTTAAATAATAAATGTTTGTGCTGTAATGATTCGTAATCTGGGTTAAAGCCAGGGTGTGATACAAACTAGAGAAGGATGTCAGATGTGTAGATGAGGCTAATCTTTCTCTATGTGCCCAGAGTTGGCTGTGACATTATTCTAATGGTGGAGAGGTAGCTGCTGCCAGTCACTTCAGATTGGTCAAAATGACGAATCATAGTGTTATCAACCAAAAACAGTTATTTTCTTTTTTGACAGGACATGGCATAGCGATTAAGAGTAAAAACTCTGGCATCAGAATTTCTGGGTTTAAATCCTTGCTGTTCTTTTTATCTGTGTGACATAGGCTCCTTCTTCATCTGTAAAATGAGGTAATAATGATACCTATCTGCCAAGGTTATTATTAGGATTGAATGAGTTAATATGTATATAATATCCAGCCTATAGTAAACACTGTGTAAGTATAAGCTCTTACTTATTACCTTTAAATCTGTTTATTGCATCTTGAGTATAAAACACCCTCATGGCATAGACTCAGACAGGTCTTGAAGAGCTAGATTTATTGATATCCGTCTATTTTGGAATGCTCTTGAAGGATCTAGAATAAACTAGAACTTTTTATATCAATTTGGAACCCCTGGTGAGGAAGGCTTGAGGGAATCTTTGAGAGAGGCTTTCGTGGAACCATGGTGTGCTTCCTGGATTCCTTATGACCTGCAGTTGGAACTATCCCAAGATTTGTAGTATTGGCTGATAGCAAAACTGTGGGAGATTGTCAGGGATGACTCCCTCTTACGACATAGGAAAATGGGCATCACTGGGAAAGAAAGTGATGATTTATTGACAGCTCAGTAACAACTAATCTTTTTGGTATATTGACATAGACTTAAAGTAACAGATTCTGTTAAAATTGTTAATCTGTTAAAAATTCTGTACTGTAAGTGTAATGAATGCTTCTTCCCTAGAATTATAATTCAGAAGAGTTAGGAAATTAAAAGTGCATATTCACTTATTTTGGGTTTTTTAATGCCTAATTTTCTAACAATGCACATTAACTTTATATTATATAGGAAACTTGATTGCTTCATTGAAATAAAGGATTTCAGATGTGATAAAACACTGTATAGAGGGCTTTGAAAGGTTTTGCTCTTTTACATAATGTTCATATTTAAAAGGAAGTTTCATTTTCAAGGCATTAAATAACTCCAGTAAGTACTTGCTTTTATGGCCCTTGTCTGTCTTAGAACATAAGTCTGTCTGGATTAACAGCCTCAAATCAGTAAATGAAAGGAAAAAAAAAGACTCCCACAGCAGCCATGCCAGTGTTGATGTTAAGTATTATATACTATTGCTTTTGAGCATCACCCAAAAGAAGGTACATCGTAATCCTGTTAACACGATCATATTTCTGAGCTTACAGCGAATTAGAAGCAAAAAATGAGAGGTATGCCAAATGACTACTAAAAGGAAGCCTACTAGTTTCAATAAGAAGTGCCAGCCTTATAGTAGCAAGGATGGAAAAGTAGAACTCAAAATCAAGAGTATGGAGCCATTTAATATAGTTTCAAAGGACTCGACATTAAATGATAATAGCTTATCATAATATAGTACTTTACAGGTAATTATTGTCACTTTCATTGTCTCATTTGATCTTAAGGGTATCCTTTAAAGTAAGGAGAAGTGGGTATGAACAGATTGTAAGTTAGGTAGAGTAGACATTTTAACTTCATGTTACAGATGAAGAAGCAAACCCGGAGAGATTAAATGACTTCCTCAAGATTACGGAGCCCATACTAGACCCCAGCTCTTCTGATTCCTAGTTCAGTCGTCTTGCCACTATACCAAGCAGACTCTGATGGCAAAGAGTGGATTATATAGTGAAATGAAAAATAGATATAATATTGATCTGGAGTCATTAAGAAAAGATGAGTTAAATTTAGTCCTCACTATTTAGAAAGGTAGTAAGGTATAATCCTTTTTAGTAGTAAACTTGTCTGACAATTCAGAAAGACTTGAGTCCTGAGGGACTCTTAATAGTCAAGGTTTGAATTTTAATTGTTTACATTAAGAACCCTGATGATTAGGATGATCTTAATCATCTTTGTATTTCTTATAGCACTTTCCACTTAGTGTCTTCCACTTAGTATTATTTGCTCAACAAATACTTAATGGTCATTAAATACTGTGCAAGTTTGAAATCTGTGATTGTAACTGACAGATCCTCTGGTTTGTCCTTCCTGGATGTTACCCAAATGGAGGCAAAGCATAGAATTGTTTGAGAAAATTAGATAAATTTTAGGCCTTGGGAAAGAATAAGATCTTTTCTTAAAACATACTTTGGTTAATAAATAGTTTTCATTTATTCTTGTAGTAAGAGTTCTGAGATGGATAGAAATGCTGATGTTTAATAGCTAGCAGATGACAAGTTGGGGAAGATTTAAGATTCAGTGATGATAATTATAATTTTCAATTGTGAACTTTTGCTATATTTTACACAGTAATCAAATTTTAAAAATAGGTGTATCTCTGAAATTAAGTGCATTATTTTTATATTGTTTTTAGTAAATCTGATTTCTCCCCCCTTCTAATTTAGCTGTAGTGATCCTGTGCAGCGAATTGAACAGTGTACACGAGGTTCTCTCTTCATGTGTAGCATTGTTCAAGGGTGCAAGAGAACATATTTGTCTCAAAGAGACTTACAGGCTCATATCAACCATCGCCATATGAGAGCTGGAAAACCTGTTACCCGTGCTTCACTTGAAAACGTTCATCCTCCTATTGCCCCACCACCAACTGAAATCCCTGATCGTTTTATAATGCCGCCAGACAAGCATCATATGAGCCATATTCCACCAAAGCAGCACATCATGATGCCACCACCTCCTTTGCAACACGTGCCACACGAGCACTATAATCAACCACATGAGGATATTCGTGCTCCTCCAGCAGAGTTGTCCATGGCTCCACCTCCACCTCGTTCGGTCAGTCAGGAAACCTTTCGTATTTCAACAAGAAAACACAGCAATTTAATAACTGTCCCTATTCAGGATGACTCAAATTCAGGTGCTAGAGAACCACCACCTCCTGCCCCAGCACCTGCTCACCATCATCCTGAATATCAGGGTCAACCAGTGGTATCGCACCCTCATCATATTATGCCTCCACAGCAACATTATGCACCACCCCCACCTCCTCCACCACCAATAAGCCATCCAATGCCACATCCTCCCCAGGCTGCAGGTACTCCTCACTTGGTTTATAGTCAAGCTCCACCTCCACCAATGACCTCTGCTCCACCACCAATAACCCCTCCCCCTGGACATATTATTGCCCAGATGCCACCTTATATGAATCATCCTCCTCCAGGACCTCCCCCACCTCAACATGGTGGTCCACCTGTAAGTGCACCCCCTCCTCACCATTATAATCCTAACTCTTTACCCCAGTTCACTGAAGATCAAGGAACTCTGAGCCCTCCATTTACACAACCAGGGGGAATGAGTCCTGGTATATGGCCTGCACCAAGAGGGCCGCCGCCTCCTCCACGAATGCAGGGTCCGCCTTCTCAAACCCCACTTCCTGGACCCCATCATCCAGATCAGACAAGATATAGACCTTATTACCAATGATAATAGTATTTTGAACTGAAGATATGATGAGAAAAAAAAAAAACATGTAGTCAACCTTTTAATTAAGCTTTGACTGTTTGGGGAAGGAAAAGCACCTCTTACAGAGGGGGCTGTAAAACACTTTAGGGTCTTGTCTCTTAAAATGGTTTTAAACCTTGACCTTAGGACTGATTTCAAGTACTATACTGTAGTGCATTTAAGTGGCTCAGTTGAGCACAGCTATATTTTAACAACTTTGTTCTCCTAGTGTGGTAAATCGACCCAGAGGTGACCATTTGTAATATTATTTCCTGAAAAAAATTTTCATTGTTCCACTTTCAAAAGTATTGCTTTTGTTAAACCCAATGTTTAGTTTTTCTTGTGATACATTTTGTTAACCTGTGTAAACGGATTAAATTTCAATATGGTTGTAAAAATGCTATTTTTACGTGAATTTAAGTGCAGCCACGTACTGTTTTTTAAAACCATAATGTTTTACCACTAATTTCCCAAAGTTACAATAAAATTCTCAAAGTAAACATCTACTAGAATTTACTGTAAGGCAGGCAGTTAAATGGCAGAAAATTATTTCACATAGTAGGCACTGAAATTTTGAGGTATAGTAAGTATGTAATGCACTTCACTTGGATGCCTTTTCATCTTTAGGCAGCCTCAGGAGCACCAAAATACATTGGAATTACAGTACTAAAATATTATTTATGTTTGTAATATTAAAAGGCATTACTAATTATTTGGAAGGATATGGTAAAAGTAACTGTCTCTATAGGTGCCAAGCTGGTGGGGGATGTGGTTACTCATTCATCCTTTTTTAGTGAATGGTTGGAGTCACATAATGCACCACACTTACTAATCTTAAATAACATTATTACTGTTCAGTGGTATCATTTAGATGAAATGTGTCCTGCTCTGCTAATTGTCATAAACTAAATATTAAGGGCTGGATAGGCTTGTTACAATTCCTCATCTCGTAGTAGGGTTTGATCCTGTGTGTAAGTGGTTTCTTGTTTATTGGATTTAAACTATAATTTGAATGCCATGGAGGAATTTGGATAACGTATTAATGAAAGACATTCTTAAAATCACAAACTTGCATTTGCTCAGGTCTCATTACTGTGTAAGTTTTTCTTCTAACTTGAAATTTAAAAACTATTATTTCTTATTCCTTTTATTGGAGCATTCTAAACTTGGAACATTTTAGCATGAAGTTAACAGTGAAGACTACCACATGATTTTGTATTGGAGAAAAATAATGACTAAATTGTGAATTTCAGTGCTTTATAAGGTGCCTTTAGAGTCAGCTTTTGCATTATAGGGACTTGTTATAGTCCAGCTAAGATAACCACTTACAGAACTCATATGTATAAATTGATATTCTTATATATCCTTTGAGTAAACCCCTGTGAAATTTTTTGTCCCCCCTAAAATGGTGCATAATATAAACATGAAATGTGTAGTATACAGATTTCGTTTATTAGATAGTTTGTAGTATATAAATTTAGAACATATTTCTTTTTGGCGAAGGATCAGCTGATTGCTAATTTGCCATTTTATTCTGTCAGGTACAGACGAAACAGATTCCCATCCTAGATGATCAGATGCAAAGGCATCTCTGAGCTTAGAGCTGAAGTTAGAAATAATATAAAAGGTCATTTCAACCTTTGACCAGCCAAAAATAACTAATACACTTAAAAAAAAAAAGTCATTTTCACACCTAGCAGTTTGAGAGTCTAATGTTAATTCAGTATTTCTAGTAAGAAATTCTTTTTATTAGAAGCATGGGAGTGAGATAGTTTGAAATGGTGGTGGTGAGTGCTTCTGTCATATTACTGTAGGTACTTGGACTGGTACAAACTTGATTCCCTTTCATGCCCCTGTTTAGGAGCTCTTAAAATAGTACTGTTGAAAATCCATTACCATTCTTTGTTTCATGTAGTAAGGAAATAGCCAAATTCACTTTAGAGCTTTTCTACTATGAAGAGCTCACCTTTTTTATTGAAATTCACTAGGGTTGAATGTGGTGTGAAACCCCTTAGCCAGCCTGTGTATTATTGGTCAAAAAAGTCAGTATCATGATGAAATTCCACATTTTAAGAGAAGTAGGCTTTAAAAAAAAAAAAAAGATTTCCGTTAGGTTTAAGAAATATATGTTATGCAGGGAGGCCTATCTGATGAATGTGTTGTAGCAGACAAAAGTTTTAAGTGGTATTAGACTTGAATTCATACAGTTTTTGTTTGAATGAGGGTGGGTGTGTAGAAGGATAAAATTACTGTTAGTGTTCCTTTCCTTAAGGAAAAAGATGTGAATCCCAGCCTTATTTCAGGGAAGCCTTTGAAGCTATGGTGGACATAAGTCTAAATTCAATGTATGTATGTTTCATTATATTGCTCTTAAAAGACTACTGAGGTGGCAGTTTAATTCTTAAAAACAATAAAATGAAAGCATAAATACTATTTTGCCTAGATGAATTTTTACCTAATGATGACATTTGGGAGAATATAGAATTTTCCATGTTTATATTGCTACAACTTTCTCTGGTAAAATTAGATTTCCTTTTTTGAAGATTAAAGTCATCAAGTTGAATGTTACAGGTATTTCTTCAGTGGCATATTTGTTCAGACTATAATAGAGTATTTGGGGAGAGATCAGTTGCTAAGACTGTAGGAAACAGTACTATATATCCATTTTGTCATTTAAAAACCTTTTGCTCAAAACTTGTGTAAATATTAGGTGCACTGAAAGAAAAATGGAAACAGTGTTTGAACGTAGTTTTCAAACTCGAAGTGACTATTTACTAAGCTGCATTTTAAGTTTTTTTCTAATACATTGGAAGAGTTTCGTCTTTTTGGAAAAGTCCTATATTATAAGTACATGGAAAAAACTCATAAGTGCCTAAAACAAAAATATATTTCTCTAATAGACTAGCCAGCAAGTGATTGATGTTAATGGAAGTTTGACATAATCATACTCAGACATGCTATATTCTGATTCAGCCAGATTTATTTTTCTTCGCTGGTTTGATACTGCATGTAATCTGTTCAATTGTGGTCTAGAAACCAAGTGAAAAATTTACATTTCAAAATATGCTAGTAACACACACAACGATAATGAGAGAGAACTGTTAAATTTATGGAAGTATTTATGTGGTAGGCATTATTCTAAGCACTTAGGATACACCAGTCTCTAGAGACAATAAACATCGTTAGATTCTATAAAATGTTAAAAGTGTGATATAAGGAAAAGCAAGGAAGTAAGGTAGTATGTTTGCAATTTTAAATAGAGTGGTCAGCGTAGTACTCATTGAAAAGGTGACATTTGAGCAAAGGTTTGAAGTAGATTTCAGAGTTAGCCATGCAGATAACTTCGGGCAGAGCTTTCCAAGCAGAGGGGACAGCCAACACAAAGGCCTTAAAGTAGGATTGTACTTGGCATGTTTGAGAAACAGCAAGACTCCTGAGGAAGAGGAGACTGGAAAGAGGTAATGACGGAGTGGGGAGACCATAAAAGGCCTTACAGACAATTGTAAGGACTTTGACCTTACTCTCACATGGGAAACCATCATGTGGTTCTGAGCAAAGGAGTGGAATGATCTGGCTCTTAAGGATTACTCTGGCTGTGTGTTGAGAAAAGGCTAGAAGGGCAAAGGTAGCAGAGAGACCAGTCAGGAGGCTGTTAATAATCTACAGAAGACATCCTGGTGGTATCATTTTAAGTGTCAAGTGAGTGACTTGTGGAAGGATATCCTTTTATATGTACATAAAATGAAGCACCTATTAAATGTTAGATGTGTGGATGTAATAATGAACAAGACAGATACGGCTCTTTAGGAGCTTAGATTCTAACTTATCTAGGAATCGTTCTTGATGGTCATCCTTAAGTATTCTTCAAAGAAATTTCTTACATTCTTTTTCAAAGCATAGTGGCCAGGGGAAAAAAATTACATTTGAAAGTAGATTACCAGCACACAGATACACACACATAACCATGAGAGAGAGAGATGTTAAATTTATGTCTGAACATAAGTAATATATTTCCTAATAGCTTTTCTGGGTACATTGTACAGTGCTAAATAAGTAAATTAGTGACACTGGAACAAATCTGTAGAATGCAACTATATTATTCTTGGGTTTAGTGATGCCCAGGAACTGTAATGGGTGAAACTAATAAATCTGTTTTTAGGCAGGCTTTAGTTTCTTTGGGGAGGTAATGTTTCTTAATAATTAAGAGCCTGCACTCTGGGCTGTCTATACTGAATTCTGGTTCTACCACTTGAAACTATATAACCTTGACTAGTTACTTGTCCTCTTTCAGCTTTGACTTATCTTGCTTTTCTGAAAAATGAGGATAATCGTAGTACCTACCTCATACAGGCTGTTTTGAGAAATAAATGAATTTTTTCTAGACATATTTGAAAGGTAAGTCAATACAATTTCCTGACAGGTTAGATTTGAGGTGGAGAGAAGAGTCAAGGATGATTCTAGGGCTTTTGGAAGAATGGACTTGTCATCAACTGAGGTGGAAAAGGTGCTGGTAGAGCAGATTAGGGGGAGAAAAATCAAATCAGTTTTGGATATGTTGACATCCACATGGTGATGCCAGAAAAATGAACTAAATGTTCCCCATTTTTTCTTGTTCATTCAAGTGTAGGGTCAGGCTTGTGTGTAAAACATTTCATTTGCATTTATAAGTGGTAAGTTGCTGTGTTTAGACAAGAATATGTATCAAATGTTTAAAGAATTATTAAATGATTTTTAAAGATAAATTTCATGTATTAATCTTTCATAATTTCAGTAATCTCTTCCCAAGTTGTCTCCCAATTGCATCTTTGGATATCTTCTCCCCTTTAGTCTTGCTCTGGTTTATATAAGTTTTATTTTTCTCTTCCAACACAGTCTCTTGCCCTCTTCCTAAATCAGGGATCAGATTTTTGTACTAGTCAATTTGCAGTATTTATTTCAAGGTGCAAGTAGAGGCCATGTATTCCTATTACCCAGAGTAATCCACCCTAGAGGCATAAGAGAAAAAAACATTTAAGGATGAGAATAAATGAACCTCTAAGATATTAAGGCTGAATATATTGTGATGTGGGTACAAGAATTGCAGTATTTGTTCCTGCTTCATGTTATTTTGGTTGGTAAGGAAGTGTAGAGGGGTACCTTTGTATGGGAAAATGCTGGCATCAGCACCAACTCTATATAAGGCTTTTGCTGCACTGCACTTGAGGCCAAATGGATCAATAGGCTCGTGTGTTCAATTTCCACTCCCTGCTCTCAAAGAGACTTAACCTGAGATTCATAGGACATTATACATAAATGCGTATGTGTGGGTTTTTTCCCCCTGAAGTCCATAGGGTGCACGAGACTGTAAGATGTCCATGACTCAAAAAGTTTAAGAAACACTGCTATAAAGTGCGGATATTCTAGTTTTTTCATTAAGATTAGCTATGTAAATAAACCTTTATTTTACCTTTCTGTATTTGGTTTTAAGTCCAACAGACAATCTCTCTCAATAGACACTTATAAAGGATGGAGGAGCACTTTGGCAATAAATGTTTAGAGGTGGGATCTAAAACAGTTGGAACAGTTTTTGCAATTAAGAAAGTGGTTTGATGTTTAAGAGAGGGCACTGAATCTTTTTCTATTGGTGCTGATGCTGTTTGCACCAAGAATATGCCAGTGAAAAAAGAGAAGCGTTTGTCAGCTGAATCTTGTTCTCTCGCTAAACTGAGCCCTAGTGCCGTTACTCCGCCCTGTGAGTGACAAGTAATAACCAGTAGTGAAGAAAAAAAGAATCCCACTTTCTCCTAACACCTGTTTTCTTCCCAGTGAGTCCAAGAACTGACTACCCATTATGCTCTTTACCACTCACCTTCTTGCTTTTTTATTTTACAGCTCCATTAACTTACACAATTTTTATACGAAGAGGGGGCGGGGGGAATAAGGATTTGAATCAAAAGCTAGTTGTAGTTACAGATTTGGCATTAGAAGGGTTGTGTCTAAATCTGGATAGGAGATAGGATACTTTAAGAAGCTGGAGTGATGACCATATAAAATCTGGGAAAAGACATCTCATTAGAGAGGGTTTGTTAGAAGATTCCCCTGAAGCTTGTTCCCAGCTGGACCACTACAGAGGATCCACAAGCAAGCATTTTCCAGAAAGCTAACAAGAAATTTAACAAAACAAGACATATCTGCTGTACAACTTAATCTTTTTTAAAATGAATATATATTAGTAAGAACTTTATAAATTACAAGATCCAAAGCGGTGGTGTAAATACACTGCAAAACATGCATGAAGGTAGTGACTTGGATGGAAATTGCTCAGTGCTATAAAAAATACATATAAACAAAATTTCCTTCGGTAAATCTACAAGATATAAAATTAAGACTATTTACATAATTTTGTACTAGATACGTGAAAAATATACCATGCTAGAACAATCTCATTCCAAAGTTTGAAACATAATTCTGTGAAATAAAAATACTCTTCATACAATGTATGAATGCATCAATAACATCCCGGGCATAAAGTTGTTCTTTATGTGGCGGTCAGATGATGATCCCTCTGAATTATATTTCGATTAAAATTTTGTTTCAACTGGTACCTGGAAGAAGACAAAGTTAAAAGTTAAAAAATTTGATAAGTTGTATCTTTTTCAATAATCATGTCTTGTATTTAAAAAGTAAATTGGCCAATCCGGTCAGAATTAGGAGCCAAAATTTACCAGTCATCAACAAATATTTTGTCTTCATTTTTAATGACTAAATATCTTCCATTTTCACTTGGTTAACTCAGACCTACTTGATAACCATGTTATCGTTTCAGTGTGTCTTTCAAAGATTTCATTTAATCAAAATAACAATACATTCTGTTGTAGCAATCTGTTTCTTCACATTGGTTTCAGAGGCCACACGAGGAACTCCAAGGGGCTTTGTGTGCTGGCCAGGCACTTCTGACACTGAGCATTTGCCTGAATCACCACAGGTGGCCTATTCACAAATGCTCATTTATCTTTCTCTAAGTAAGGCAAATAGCTGTTGTTAAATTTTCCTTTTTTTTTTAATAGATGGAGAAACTGAGATACAAGATAACACTGACTTCAATTTCTGTCTGACAGTTGGTTCTAAAGCTCCAATCGGACACTAGGTTTAAATGCTGTTCCTCTTCTTTATACCCTAAAACTTGATGACAATTCTGGATCCACCTACTGGGGAGAGGGTTTCTGGTCTGAGGTTCTTGTAGGGTGCTCTGGCAAGATGGACAGTTGGGTTTCTCTGGAAGCCAGCCATGGGAAACAGGATGGGGCTAACGTAGGCTCTCCTTTCGCCTCAGTTTTATTTAACTTTTTGGAATGTCTTTTTTATCTAAACTTTTCCTACTTAATATCACTCGATAATGGTCCAGGGTTATGGTATGAATTTCTTCATTTGTAACTGAGATTCCTTTTGCTTTTCTTATTAGACCTTTCTTCAGCTAAGAGAGAAGTGCCACCAGCCACCTCCCATAGTTGGAGACAATCATTAGATTCTTTTCAGGAACCGCAATTCCATCAGTCTTTCACCGAAGGATACAGGTGGTGTAGCATAATAAACAGACCATGGGTCTTGGTATCAGACAGATCTTGGTTCAAATCCTGTTGGTGTTACTTGGTGTATGACCTTAAGCAAATTAGTTAACCTTTGTGAACCTGTTTCTTAGTTTCCCTACTTGCAAAATGAAGATATGGTCTTTGTATATTGTTGTACAGGTTAAGAGGATGAATGTAATGCACCTACCACATACCTGGTCTACAGCAGATACGTATTTTGATTTGTGATCCTGCTTCTTCCAAACTAGAAACATTGCCTTAAAGGATAGAATATTCTAGAAATGAATGTTCTAGAATGAAATAGAACTCTCCAGTTAAGCAATGATTTGGCATCGCTTAACTTTTATTGCTGGGCTAGGCACTGTGCTAAGGACTTCCCAAGCACCTGGGAGTCAGGAGATGTATATTAGCTTCTCAGCTCCATCACTAATTCATCTGTAAATGGAAATAGAAATGCCTACCTTGCCTCATGGATAATTAAAAGGCCAGAAAAGGTGATGGTTTTAAGTAGGTTGAAAAGCAAAAAGTTCTATATACACGCTCAGTACTGCATTAATAGAGAACTAGTATCACTATTTTCCACTCTTTTTGTACTAGTTTATTTTCCCCCAAAGTCCCTATGAGATTGGTTGGCATTATTTCACTTTTCCAGGCATGGGGAACAGAGGCTCAAATGAGTGCTGGAGTTGTGCACTTGGAAGAGATGTCACTACTTCCAAGCTTTTTTGTTGTGGTGATTGGGTAAAGAGTGTTGATAAACATTACCTGACATTCCCGATTACGTAATCCTCCATTTGTATTTATGGTAAAGTCGTGTTTCATTTCTTTTTCCTGAGATAAACAGAAGTAATTGTGGGTTAGGAACAAGAATTTTTTTTTAATGTTGAAAAAGAGAATTTTAAGAAGTACAGATGATTGACTATATAAATGTGAAAGTCACCAAAGAGCTGGTACCTGGCTGTGACTAAACTTTGAAGTACCATAATCCTTCTTCATCAAAATATGCAAAACAGCATCATGGATCGTTAAGAAAAATATTGAGTCGGTGACTTCATCATCGAAAAATTGACACCGAGTAAGCTTCTCAACGAAATCATCTGAAGAAAAGACAGAATAACATTTAGGAAGAAGTAACTGTTTCGCCACAGATTTCTCTGTGAGGCTAGTGATTTGAATTTCTGTTTGCAAATGTGCATTTTATGGTGGTTTAAGTGTTTGTGGGTTGCAGTGGTACAATACCAGTGTAGTATTAGTACAGTGTCTTCTGGAACTAAAGGATATCTTTCTAATATAGATTTAATGCCCATCAAAAGGAAGAAGGAAAAGGTTCAAACGAGAAAAACTTTAGTAGCTCCTAGAAGAAAACCAGTCCACTCCCCTTTAGGCAGGAACCTGGAGTGTTAATCTCCCTGCTTATTAGATTGAAGCATCAAGTTTGGCTTCTTATTAAAAACTGGGATTCTGCCAAAATAGAGTACATGTTTATGGACCAGAAACACACTGTGATTCTTGATCGCCAAACCTGTTACTTGCCAGTTACTTATCTGTAGCCCATTTTCCCAAAGCTGCTAGGTTCCATCAGAAAACATCTTTCTTTGCACCTTGCATTACCTTTCCCATCATCTTTGAGGGGTCTCAAGCACTAAGTAGCACTTGCACAGATTACCCAACCAAATATTACCATGTGTTTGCTATCCATAAATCCCTGGCTGGGTAATATAAAGGATCAAAAGATAAATTAGACATGAATCTTGTCCTTAAGGAAGGTAGAATATGTATGTATCACTATAGTACTAAAAGGAAAAGTGTATAATAATGAGGGCAGGGGCGATCTTTTTTTATTTGTTTTCTTCTTAAAATAATGCCCAGCATATATTAGGGTCTCACACTTTTGTTGAATGAATAAGAGGTACAGATCATGTGCTGTGGAAATTCTGAGAAAGTAAAGATTATTATTTCTTGTTGGTGGGTATCAGGAAAAACTTGACAAAGCAGATAACATTTACAAGAATGACTAGGATTTGGAAGAAGAGAAGGTGGGAAAGCATGAAGGTTGGAAAGTCTGTTCACAGGCAAGCATCTAACACTGACAGGACCTGGCAGTGACAAGGGACACAGAGAGAGTAGGGCATAGTGGCCACCAGAGCAAGGGATGGAGATGATGATCTTATTTAAAGACTGAAAGGGATGTCAGGCAGCAAAGATGGCAGGAACAGACACTTTCAAGATCTGGGATGATAGAGTAAAACTGCTTAGTAGATTAAGGGGTTACTAGGATCCCTGGGTAGTACAAATGGTTAAATGCTCAACTAGCTGAAAGGCTGGCGGTTCAAACCCACCCAGAGACACCTCGGAAGACAGGCCTGGCAATCTACTTCCAAAAGGTCACAGCCCTGAAAACCCTATGGAGCACAGTTCTACTCTGAAACACATAGGGAAGGTCACCATGAGTTGAAATTGACTCGATGGCAAGTAACAACAACAACAGGATCAAGAGAATGTTTTCAAGTATAAGGAACCCTTGAAGCTAGAACATCTGTAAGTTTAAGAGTAGGAACCAGTGGATAGGAGAAGACTAAGATGCCAATTTCATGCCTCTCTCAGGACCTGTTTACTTGCCGTCCCCCTCCCTAAAATGCTTACCCCTAAGATATTGTCAAGGTTGACCCCCTCCCTTCATTCCACTCTACTCAAATGTCACATTACTGGGCATCCCTGATTGCCCATCTAAAATAACACTGTCTCTCTTGCTCTAGGCCTTTTAACTCTGCTTTTTTCTTCACAGCATTTATCACTACCCACAAGTATGTTTTTATTTGCTTATTATTTGGCAGGGGCTTGTCTTATTCTCTGTACCCAGAATAAGTGCCTGACAAATAGTAGGTGCTCACTAAGTCTTTATTGAACGTCTGTTCAATAAGAAGATAAACAAGACCAGTACCTGCCCTGGAAGAGATTATAGTCTAATGGGGACATAAACGCAGAACTGCAGAATAATGGGATATGTATGTATTCTGCAGATGCAAAAGCCTGAAGAGCACAGTGCTCTTCCCGAAGAAGCAAGACGTTTTCACAGTTCTTAAAGGATAAATTTTCTAAGGAGATTTCTAGTCAAAATGGAAGACCATTCTAGGGACAAACAAAGACACTTGTTAGAAGGTTCTTCCAGATGCCTAGGTGAAAAATGATAAAGGTTCGGATTAAGGCTGTAGAAATGGAGAGGAAGAGACTGATTCAAGAGGAAATATTTATAGGACTTGGTGGGTCACTCACTGACTGTAAAGGGGAGGAGAGAGGGAGAAATTGAAGATGGCTCCAGGGTTTCTACTTTGGGCAACTGGGATGCAGTGATTGAGAGAGGAAAAGAGAAGGGCAGTTATGGGAGGGAGGATCATGTATTTAGTTTGGAACGTGTATCTCAGTTGCTTGGGGGACATCCAGATAGTTGAATACATGGGCGTTCAGTCAAGAGAAGTCTGGACTGGAGGTGTAGTTTGGGGATTCATTAACATGTAGATACACTTGAACTCATAAACATGTAGGAAATTGACTAGACAGAGTCCATGGAGTTAGAGAAAAGAGTCCATGGAATTAATTAAAACCACAGGGTTTCAGATTAAAGCTTGGGAAAGACCAACTATTAAGGGGTGGGGAGGAGCTAATACCAGAAATTGAGGAACTATTAGAGAGGCAAAAAGTTGAATCAGAAGAGAATGGTCTTGCAGAAGTCAGGAAAGAAGAGCATTTCAAGGCAAATGCTAAGGAAATCTCTGATAGCATGAGGCTAGAATGGAGGCAGTTGATCTTGGCAATCTGGATATCACTGATGACCTTGGCAAGGGCAGCCTCATCAATGAGGTAAAGCAGAAACCAGGTTATGGGCTGAGGAGTGTGTGGGAGATGAGGAAGAGTGACAGAAAATAAGGCTACTTTTCCAGGAAGTTTAGAGTAAAAAAAATGGTTACATGTTCACTCTTCTGCTGCCTATTAAATTAGGAATCAAATTGTAAAATTAATTTAATTATATATCAATACAACTAAAATCTAAATGCTATTTCCATAGGGATTTTTATAGGCTCCATTCTCAATTAGATCTCCTTCTTGATAACCATATAAAATACCTGTTCTTTTGAGGTTGTCTATGTTGCGAATGGAAACGCTGATTGTGTAGTGGTTAAGAGCTATGGCTGCTAACCAAAAGGTCAGCAGTTTGAATCCACAAGGCACTCCTTGGAAGCCCTGTGGGTCAGTTCTATTCTGTCCTATAGGGTCACTATGAGTCAGAATCGACTTGACAGCAATGAGTTTGGTTTTTTGGATTTATGTTGTGAATTGGCAGTGAGCCTAAAGTGATTGTCAGAACATAAAAAATAAAAGTAAACCAACCTACCATCAGTTCCCACAATATACACATCCACCTGGATCCTGATAAATTCTTGCAAAATCTGTTAAAAAGGAAGTACATCTTCCTTAGGGAACAGTTTTAGTTGTCAGAAACATAAACTATCACAATTATAGCTTATGGGTGATATGTTGCTTTCAGAAACCTTTTACATTTTGAGAAGGTAATCATATAAAGAGGTACCAATGTTCAAAACAAGGCTCTATGACGGAAAGAAATAAACCCAAAGGAAATAGCCCTCTTTTTCAGGAAGAGGTTAAAATGCTCATTCTTGAGGGAAGTATTATGGAAAAATGTTCTGCCTCAAAGTCACAAAATCAGCTCTGATTTAATTTTAAAATAAGATCTTCTATAGGATGATCTAGAGATTTCTATCTATATAAAAACTAAGGGAAAAAAAAAGACAACAAAAAACCTATGGCTCCTAGATTGTTCTATCCACAGTGACCAGATGTATCTAGCACCAATGTATCTCAATCCTGTTTCCTGGTCTCTAGGCTAAGAGAAGAGCCCTGGTGGCGCAGTGGTTAAAAGCTTGGTTGCTAAACAAAAGGTCGGCAGTTTGAATCCACCAGACGCTCCTTGGAAACCCCATGGAGCAGTTCCACTCTATCCTATAGGGTCACTATGAGTTGAATCGACTTGACAACAACGGGTTTGGTTTAGGCTAAGAGAAAATACCAGTAGTGATGTGAGTAAGGTCATATAAGGTAAGAAAAGTAGCTTTTACTGTTGATCAATTTAGATGATCATTAATATCATCATCGATAAACTTGTAGAACCTCTACTAGGCAATGAACTAAGAATTAAGGCTTTAAAGAAACCTAAGTCAGAGTCTTCATCCTTTGTGCTATATTTCTAGGACTAAAAACTAAAGGTGTGTGGGTGTGTGTGCATGTGGGCATGTGCATTTTTTCCCTCCTCAGCTCAAATAAAGAAAAGAAAAAGTAAGCAGCCTTGAGAGAGTTATGTGATGTTAATATAAGCTTTAAGGAAACTAAATCCCATTTTCTAATTTTGTATTCAGTTCACCCATGCTTAATAGTTCTTAGCTCAGCTCTTACATGGGCAGATTTTTGTGGAAACCCCAAAGAAGTGGGGCAAATGCAGAATTTCTTAAATGTGCTTTACATCTTTTTCTGCATTTCTGGTAGAAACTATTTTAGGAATGCTGACAAAACTATGGAAATAAAACAGATCTCAACCTGATTCTTCAGTCCTGTTTTTAAATCACACAAGACATTGATTCTTTTATATATCTACTTGGCTTTTTTTTTTTTTTTTTGAGAAAGATTGTTAAATAGCCAAATGAAATTTTATCTGCTCATATCAATGATGGTAAAAACTATTCCACTTTTCCCCAGAACCTTTCCCAGTCTTTTCTGATTTGAGGACAATTTAGGTACGATGCCCATGAGAATTTGAGGACACCACAGAACTGAAAGTTGATAGGAGTGTGAGAGCAGGTTCGGCATTCAATAGGATTGTGGTTGTGGTTGCCTGCAAAAGTCTATGCAGTCCCACGGGAAATGTACTTTTCAAGAGTTCATTGAATACCTCTTTCTCTCCCTACCCCTGTCAGCTCCCCTTCCACCATGGAATACTCTAAGATTAGAATTTCCTTCTAATTAAGCATATAGTATCTAAAGGAGCATCCTTCCACAAACACTTTTTTTTTTACCTTTAGTCCCTGATTGGTTGTTTCCATTAAGAAAAAAGAAATTACCTTTTTGAGACCCCTCATTGAAGAGATGTCAAGAAATGACACTGCTGAAAAATCGAGGATGAGGCTGTGAAGGTTGATTTTGGGGACCACAATATTGACAGGAAGATCATCATTCCAGTCTATCTGGAAGGGCAGGTCTGAGGTATTGATTGGCTGATCCAGTTCTTCTATCTGATTATTGTCCAGCTCTTCATCAGAATCTTTTAAGCCATCAACAGTCAATATAAATCCTTTCTGTAGAAGGGGATAGAAAACATGATAACTCTGGCCAAGAAAAAATTGTGTATGTCAGGTAACCCATGTGTTTCTGAAGCCCAGATTCAAAGCTGGGACAAACAATGAGGTTGTAGATACTTTTTTTGGTACTTTGTCCAGGAGAATAAACATTTTAAGGAGACCCTCAAAGACACCATTTAAAAACACTGACGTTAAATGACACATGAGATGCCTTATTTAGCAGGCATTTCATTTAAGGGAATGGAGCTAACACATTGAACTGTATTTTATTAAGCTCTTACTTATAATGCACATTAATGTGAACAAGAAACTTACTGGTGTCACTTGTAGCAGGCCTTTCTTCTGCAGCTTTCGGATTTTCTTCAAAGCTTTATTGCGCTTATGTAGAATTCGAAGTGGACTAAAGCCAATCTGCAAAGCCCATTTCTGTGTTACAAGAGTACTGAATATTCTGCTACCTATATAGTATAATTCTAATAACTTTAACTGGGATGGGTTGAGGGATTCGGGCAAATAATCAAGATACTTGTGATAAAATTTAGAAGTGCTTAAAACAACAACATTGCATAAGAACTATGGTCTGGTCAGTTTGTATGTGGTTAGCAACACCCTAAAACCCCTGCGCAGTCTAGGATTTATCCATGAACATCCATCTATGTATCTAAACTCTATTTAAACCTGCTTGCATTTTTGGCCTACGTAAGTCTTAAATTTTATTTATTTTCTATTTGTTGAATAAGGGAGGCATCTAGGTGCTCCTTGGAAACTCTATGGGGCGCTTCTACTCTGTCCTCTAGGGTTGCTATGAGTCAGAATCCACTCTATGGCAATGGGTTTCTAGTTAGTATTCTGCTTCTGTATAATTTTCACTATATTAAAATTATATGATTTTATTTTATTATTTTTTTTTATTGCATGCTTTCATTGTCTAATTTTAGTACTAGACTTGGGACCAACTCTCATTTTCCCTTTTTCAAAACAATTGTGTTCTTACTGATGCAATATTTAACTCCAGAGTAATAAGGAGGATCAAATCATGTAAAAAAAAATCCTTAATAAAAATGTAGTCAGATGGAAAAATAGTAGATCCAGTGGAAAAGGCAGTATATAAAGCCATATATACAATATGATCTCATTTTGTAAAAAGTTGTAATCTTGGGCCAGGGAGCAAAGTACACAGAAGAAAAATATCCAATGCGTACCAAAGTAATAATAATAGGGTTTAAGGCAGAAGCTCTATGCAAGGTCCAGAGCCGTCCAAAAGGCATGCTGTTTCTTAACTTTGAAAACTGGTTCCTTGTTATCTCCAGTTTACTGGGGACACTCAGTATTTATAGTTATTTAGTGTTCAATATTCATTTATAACTGTTATCCTTAACCTCCTCAACGATGCATTCAAATACTAAATGTCCCTTCGCTGTTTCTAAAGTTGCCCAAAGAAAATCTGTAGGATACTATCTATAAAAGCCAGCATCCCAAAACATCTTTAGAACAGAATTTGGTAAAAGCCTTGGACCTCATAGAAAGAGGTTTATTTCCCACATACTAACAGACCGTTTGTAAGTTCTTCTCACCTGCCTGGGACATGGAACACAAAAACACCAACAAAATCCAGCCCAACATATATGAAGTCAGTGACCCTCTTGTTAAAAAACAAAAATTTCTTTCCCAGATATTCAGTGGAATCTCTCTCTCACACACACACATCAAATAACCCCAAACCTTACAGCACTGATAAGTTTCTGCTTAAAGAAATTAATGTTTGCAAAGTAGATAGGAGATGGACATCTGAAGATTTTCACTCCTTCCGGCTCATACATCTACAAGGTAGAGAAGTAAGATTAGATGGTGTCCATTAAACTCATATTAACATGATTTAGCAAGTCAAAGAAAAAACAAAAAGAATCTTCCTTACATCATAGTAATCTTTTTTATTCTTATAGATGTTGCTCCTTCCAACATTAGCCAGTGTGCTGCATTTTGGACTGTAGGGAAAATCAACACCAAATGAATCATTTATGCATATTTGTTAGGCCTATAAGGCTAACATTGATTTTTTTCCTAGCATACCAAAGCAGGCTCACTCTTCAAAATTTGGAAGGTTGGGGAATCATACCCTCCAAGAGTCTGCAGGGCAAGCACCTTGTTTTACTTATCTTTGTGTCCTCCCACACAGCTGCTAAAACAATGCCTTGCACCTACCATGTCACTGTTACCAAACAACTTCCATATGCTTTTGCCATTTTGATTCTGAATATCACAGCTATTTGGTGAGGTAAGGCAGATCTATTTTATGGATGAGCACATGGAGAAGTAAAATGACTTGGCTCTGACCACTCAGTTTGTCTCAATGTTTGTTAGGTCCCCCGTAGAGAAATGAGTGCAGATACAAATGAATAAAAGAGTAAGGGAACATTTTAATACAAATGTATTTCATCAGTCAAGGATTAGCTTTAACTATGATAAAAACACCTTCTGTTCTCAAATTCGTTAGTTCCCAAGGAGTCTTATTTCTCTGACACACCTTGTAAACCAACATAAGTTGAGTGACCACATGGTGGTGGTATTACAACAGAGATTTAAGAATCAAAAAGCTGTTTGGACTGGATGACTGTTAAGAATCAAGAATTCTGGTGGCTTTTGTGGAATTTTTTTTATCACCTGTCTGTCAGTTTGTCTTACTGTGGTGTTTTGTGTGTTGCTATGATGCTGGAAGCTATGACACCAATATTTCAAATACCAGCAGGGTCACCCATGGTGGACAAGTTTTGGCAGAGCTTCTAAACTAAGACAGACTAGGAAGAAAGGCCCAGCGATCTTCTTCTGAAAATTAGCCAGTGAAAACCCTATGGATCACAACAGAACGTTGTCCTACTTGCTTGCTTTGGACATGTCATCAGAAGTGATCAATCACTAGAGGAGGACATCGTGTTTGGTGAAACAGAGGGCCAGCGAGGGTGAGGGAGACCCTCGGTGAGATGGATTAGCACAATGGCCACAGTGATGGACTTGAACATGCTGGTGATTATGAGGATGATGCAGGACCAGGCAACGTTTCATTCTATTGTACATAAGGTTGTTAGGACTTGGAGCTGACTCAACGACAGCCATCTACCTGTCTGTCTGTCTATCCATCCATCCAACCATCTGTCCATTCGTCTGTCTGTCTATCTTTGTGGAATTTTAGGACAAGAGAGGCCTTTGAAAAGTTCTCCACTCCAGCTCCATGCTTTTAAGGTGGGAGTATAATCTACCTATAAAGAGAATCCTCCATGACACATGGAGAATCTGACACTCCTGTCAGTAACACATTCTCATGTTTAACAAGTGGAAGGGAAAGACATTGAACCCTCTTAGAATATAATTACTCTGGTTTACAGCTGGGCAAACAGATTCAGAGATTTATATGATTTCTTTGAACTGGCATCAAAGCAGGGAGCAGACTAACAGCAGGTATGCTAACTGGCCAAAGTTTCTAAAGCCAGGCCATCACGTTACTCTCCAGGTCTCGGGGCGACTGAGGAAGAATATACTGGCCACTCTTAACAGACACGCATGCTTATTAACCAAACTACTTTTCCCGTAACCAGTGACAAAATTTTTTTCTCTTTTGATTTGGGCAGGTCAAAGGCTGCAAGGATGCAGGGCACAGCAAACACTCACAATTGTGTCCGGAACACGATGGTTAGGAGCTGAAATGCAACGCTAGCTGCCAGGCCTAAACCAAGTCCCAGGACAATGGCACAGACGAAAGTCACAATCCAAATGAGCTAAAAAGAAACAACACATACACTACAATTTACTTTGATTAAAATACAATGTCTTAGGTCCAGAACTATAAGAAAGCATGAAATTCTAGGGCCAAAAACAGAGGTTGGAAATTGTAATCTTGGATTAGGGAGCAAATGTACAGGAGAAGGGACCTGCCTCAGGTTCTCAAACACGGAAACATAAGCAAATATAAAATGATCCACAGAGTGTACCTATTTCTAATCCCGTCCCTGTCCCAGTTAAAGAAGTGATTGTATCTCTGTCACAGCTAGAATTCCAGAACCAGCTGCTGTTCATTAAAACTATCAAATTAATTGGCAGACCCTATACTAACCTCTTTTTTTAAAATTTATTCTATTTTTTATTGTTGTTGAGAATATACACAGCAGAAGATACACCAATTCAACAATTTCTATGTGTACAATTCAGTGACATTGATTACATCAAGTTGTACAACCATTCTCACTCTCCTTTTTTCGGTTGTTCCCTATACTAACCTCTTATTCTTGCTCTATTGGTTTAATTAATGGCTACTCTCTCTACAAAGGAGCCCTAGTGGCTCAGTGGTTAAGAGCTCGGCTGCTAACCAAAAGGTCAGCAGTTCGAATCCACCAGCTGCTCCTTGGAAACCCTATGGGACAGTACTACTCTCCTACAGGGTCACTATGAGTCAGAATCGATTTGATGCAATGGGTTTGGTTTTGGTTTTTACCTCTATAAAGATTTTAGCATGCCAAAAGGGTGTTCAAATCTCCAACAATTATCTGTTGGGAACAAAAGTAAACCAAGTGTAACATTATTACTTTATGCTTGTTAAGTAGCATAGGATGTGTTAACAGCATTTTTATGCCACAGACTTTGACCCTGTTGTTAACTATGGACTCTTTCTCATAGCAAGGCATGCTGAGAGCAAGAGAGAACGTTTGTAAAGTATTTCCAAAAAAGAATGTTTAGAATTTAAGGTTTTCACGGAGCCCTGATGGCACAGTTATTAAGTGTTCGGCTACTAACCAAAAGGTCGGCAGTTTGAATTCACCAGTCGCTCCTTGGAAATCCTATGGAGCAATTCTGCTCTGTCTATAAGGTCACTATGAATCGCAGATTCTCTGGAAACTAATATATTATGTAATGAAGAACAGAAGCAATGCATACCCTAAAATTCAGAGCTTCTGTGGCATTCAGAATGACTGCAAGAACTCTTAGGTCAGATCTAAGAAAGTTCTGTATTTGCAAGTAGCCTATCCTTTTAAAATGAAATCCCAGAGAATGATCATTAGAAATATGCAGTTTAAAGATAGCCAGCAACTAAAACAAACAAAGATTGCTTTGAACAGATATACGAATGAAATTTCACTTGGTTTACAAAATTAATATGCATTTTACATCAGTGTTAAAATGCCACCCCGATTTATCTCTCTTTAAAATACTGTTACTTCTACTTACACAATCATATTTATCCTTTCGCCACAGTCTTCCTATTTCAGCAAACTGCATCAACATTCCCTTTAAATTTCCAAGTGCTAAAGCTGACAGGACAGACTGTTAAAAACATAAATACCAGATGTACTTTAAGTTAGTCAAATAAACCATGCAGAAGCAAAGGTGAAGGTTGTAGATAAGTGAGTCCTTTAAAGGGCCTCAAAGCATATCAAAGGATATGCCCTTTTCCAGTGTGCAGAGGCCAAGGAAGACACTGGAGAACTGGGACTCTGACCTGTCCCTGTGCGTGGCTTTGTTCCCAACACAGTGGTAGTGATTATGCCATGGATGATCTGGTGGCACCTAAGAGCTATTTCCTTGGGACAGAGGAAGGCAGATCTTCCCAAGCACAGTCTAATGTGTGTCTGTTTATTGGAGGTGGGGGCAGGGGGCTGCTGTCTGTAAAAGATAACTTGGATCTAAATTCTAACCTTTGATGATGAACAGCCATCATGCCACTTTGGAAGACGAAGCTAAAGATCACAGAGAGGTTAACAAAGATCTGAAGCAGACTCTCTGGGACAGTGTGAACCATGTTCATCTTGTTCCCTGTGGTATCTCTGGAACCTACTGTGGTCAAATGCCCATAAAAACCCCTAAAAAATGAGTTGCTGTTGAGTCGATTCCAACTCATGGTGACCCAGTGTGTGCGGAGTAGAATTACTCCATAGGGTTTTTTGGGCAGTGACCTTTCAGAAGCAGAGTGCCAGGCCTGTCTTCTGAGGTGCCTCTGGGTGGGTTCAAACCACCAACTTTTCAGATAGTAATCCGGCACTTAACAGTTTGTGCCACCCAGGGATTCCCAAATGCACATGTTGTTGTTGTTACTGTGTGTCGCTGAGTCACTTCCAACTTGTAGCGATCCTATAGGACAGAGTAGAACTGCCCCATGGGGTTTCCTAGGCTGGAATCTTTACAGGAGCAAATTGCCAGGTCTACTCTCCTGCGGAGTGGCTGGTGACTTTGAACTGCCAACCTTTTAGTTAGCAGCTGAGTGCTTAACCATTGCATCACCAGGACTCCTTCGAAATGCACATTAAAAAAAAATCCATTGCTGTTGTTTTAATATGGCAAACAAGAGGAAGACCCTCAACAAGATGGATTGATACAGTGGCAGCAACAATGGGCTCAAACATAGCAATGATTGTGAGGATGGTGCAGGACCGGGCATGTTTCATTCTGTTGTATAGAGGGTCGTTATAAGTTGGAACTGACTCGATGGCATCTAACAACAACATAGCTATACAGTGGAATCTGTGAGAGCTGGAACTCAACAAGACTGCCTTGTTTTTCCACGTCCCACAAGTTTTCTGGTTTTGACAGGGTGCGATCTTACCACTTTTCTATTGTTTGTTTTGGTGGAAAATATTTGAGTTTTCCTTCTCTCACAGGTTTCCACTTTACACAGTTTCTGGCTTTTGAAGATTTTACTGAATAATGGTTCCATGAGTGGCACAAATGGTTAAACACTTGGCTTCTGACAGAAAGGTTGGGGATTCAAATTTACCCAGAGGCGCCTTGGAGAAAGGTCCGGTGATCTACTTTTGAAAATAGTACAGCCATTGAAAACCCTATGGAGTACAGTTCTACTCGGAAAACACATGAGGTTGCCATGAGTCAGAATCAACTCGCTGGCAACGGGTTTTTTTTTTTTTTTATAGCTATATAAGATAGTACCATTAAGGGAAGTTGAGTGTGCTATTTTTGTAACTTCCGACGAGTTATAATTATTTCAAAATAAAAAGTTTTTTAAAAGAATAAAAAGAAATTGCAACAGCAAACTTATAATTAAAAATTAGTATCTTTATCCTGTTAGACAATAAGTTTTTCCTTTAGGGAAATTTACTATCCATATAAAACATATCAAATGCCACCTGTTAGAAGAGACACATCATTTTTCTTTTCATTTAGCATTATTTCCCACTTGGTCACTACTCCATAGAAAAACAACTACAAACAATTTACAATAAAATACTCAACAGAAAACTTTAAGAACATATGATTTAGCAATCCCACTCCTAGGTATGTATCCTAGAGAAATAAGAGCCATGACAAGCATAGACATATGCATACCCATGTTCATGCAGCATTATTTACAACAGCAAAAAGAAACAACCTAAGTGCCCATCGACAGATGATGGATAAACTGTGGTATATACACACAATGGAACACTAAGCAATGATAAAGAATAATGATGAATCCGTGAAACATCTCACAACATGGATGAATCTGGAGGACATTATACTGAGTGAAATAAGTCAGTCTCACAGAAAGACAAATATTGTATGAGATCATTATTATAAATAGTCAAGAAAGGGTTTACACAAAAAAAAAAGAAACATTTTTTGATGGTTACCAAGGATGGGAGGGGGAGGGAGGGAAAATCACTAACTAGAAAGTAGACATGTGTTAACTTTGGTGAAGGGAAAGGCAGTACACAACATGGGGAAGTCAGCACCACATGACCAAGGCAAGGGAAGACACTGAGAAGTATGCAAGAATAAAAGGCAATGATGGCAAATATTATAATATATACAACCCTGCAACAACAGTAATAACAATAATATATGAGTAGATACATAAGTAGATACGTATGCTGAATAGGTATGGGAGGGTGTATGGGGGTACCAAAACCTCACTGCCATCGAGTTGATTCTGACTCATAGCGACCCTATAGGACAAGGCTGTAAATCGTTATAGAAGCAGATTGCCACATCTTTCTCCCACAGAGTGGCTGGTGAGTTCGAACTGCCTACTTTTTGGTTAGCAGCCAAGTGCTTTACCGAATGGGGGCACATCCACGTACATATATAGGGTTTGGCTTTGGATATTTCTACATACATATTTGTATGTGCTGCATGTATATTCATATATATAATAGAGCACACAGGGGGCACAGTCGGGGAAACATTCTAGACATAACCAAACACCTCGTGGGACTGAGTTTCTGGGCTTGAAGGCTAAGGACCATAGTCTTGAGGGACATCTATGTCAATTGGCATAACATAGTTCATAAAGACAATGTTCTACATCCTACTTTGGTGAGTAGTGTCTGGGGGTCTTAAAAACTTGTGAGCTGCCATCTAAGATACAACTGTTGGCGTCTTTCCATCTGGAGCAAAGGAGAGTGAAGACAACCAAAGAGTCAAGGAAACAACTGGTTCAGAGGACTAATGGACCACAGGAACCACAGCTTCCACTAGCCTGAAACCATAAGAACTAGATGATACCAGGATCACAATAGAAGGTGCCGGTTAGAGTGGGACAAAATGTTCAAATTCATGAAAAAGACCAGATTTACTGGTCTGAGAGGGATTGAAGGAACCCCTGAGACTACGGCCCTTAGACACCCCTCTAACTTGGGACTGAAGCCATTCCCAGAGATCACCTTTCAGCCAAATCATAAACAGGCCTACAAAATAAACAGTAACTCCCGTGAGGAAAGTCCTCCTTAGAAAAATCATCTATATGAGAACAAAAGGGCAACATCTGCCCAAAAGCAAAGATGAGATGGCAGGAAGGGGCAGGAAAACTGGAGGAATTGAAGTGGGGAACTCAGGTTGGTAATGGGGAGGGTGCTGACTAAGTGTGAGGATTGCAATTAATGTCACGGGACAATTTGTGTATAAACTATTGAATAGGAAACTAATTTGTTCTGTAAACTTTCACCTAAAGCACAATAATTAAAAAAAAGAAAACTTAAAAAAAAAAAAAAAAGCTTACAGAGCATTGAGAAACTGTAGAAATGAAAAGGGGTACAATTTTACCAGGAACCTGGGATCAATTCTGCAAAAGATGTAAAGGATTAAATACACATAATGTGCTTAGATCTCTGCTGATGCTTAGTAAGCACTCATCAAACATTCTATTTAGCTGTTATTGTGGACTTGTTGCCCTCAAATGATAAAACGAAGCAAACCAGCTATTTAGTTGAAACAAAGACTTTCTGACACAATAGTCTCACAAGAGCTTATCACATGGATCTGTTACAGAAAGGATTTTGATTAACATCATGGACAAGGTCCTCAGGTGTTGCTTATTTAGAAGGGAGCTAGGATTTTAAATAGTAATTGTTTCATTTCTCTAAATGGCTATTGGCTGGGTAGCACCCAAGTGCACCTGTGGGAAGAAGCACACCAGGCCAGAATTCATCTCTATGTAAAGGTGAGTGTGTGTGCATTTGTTTTTATTGAAATACACTTTCTTCTGTTCCATTAGTGGTGACTTCTTGATTCCTTTAATGTAATTCATTTTGAAATCAGTAGTTTAGATGGAGAACACATATGTTTGGCAAACAGAACTCCGCCCGGCTTGAGATCAATTTTACCAGTGAGCCTCTTTTGGAATGACCACACTGGGAGTCCAGAAACCTGGGACCAAGTTCATAGTTCAATTACCAACCCACCAGGAAAAAAGGACTAGATAACAACCAACAGACATTGGTGGGTTGGATCATATCTCTACATCAAAATCGGAATAGAATATTTGTATAATGATAATAATGATACTAACAATAATGGCTATGATTTACCAAGTGCTTATCATGTGCCAGGCCCTGGGTAAGTATTTCAGATGCATTCTTTCATTTAATTTTCATAACAAGTTTGTGAGGTAGATACTATCCCCCATCCCTATTTTATAAATGGGGAACCTGAGGTTCGGAGATGTTAAGTTATTGGCCCCATAGCAAATTTAGGCAGGATTCAAAGTAGGTTTACAGGCCTCCAGAGCCAGTGCTCTGTGAATCACCTCAAAATCATATCAAAACCACAAAGGACAATGTATTTACCATTGTCAAGCTTCCTAGAGGAGCCCTGGTGGCACGGTGGTTAAGTGTTTGGCTGCTAACCAATAGGGCGGCAGTTTGAATCCACCAGCCGCTCCTTGGAAACCCTATGGGGCAGTTCTGCTCTGTCCTACAGGGTTGCTGTGAGTTGGAATCGACTCCATGGCAAGGAGTTTGATTTGGTTTTGGTTTTCTAGAGGAGCCCTTTGGTGGTGAAAATGGTTTTTGTGACTACTAACGTAAAGGTTGGCAGTTCAAACCCACCCATCCAATAACCAGTGGCACCGCGTCGCCATGAGTTGGGGTTGACTTGACGGCAATGGGTTTGGTTTGGTTTCCTAGAGGTCCTATTTTTTCCAGTGTCTGCTGTTATTTTTTTAAAATCTGAGTGCTGCAGAAGTGTACAAAGCATTAGACTAAACCATGAAAAATTACAGTTCAGGAGAGATGGACGAGTAACACGAGGTGGGAGGTGGGAGGTCTACGGCTGGGCAGGAAATCAGGCTCCCCTCCTGCAATCTGACAGTGTTGGTCTTGGAGCCAAACCAAGCTATGACAGCTGTAGGGCGTATTCCTAATGACTGGTAGTGTGGCTGGTAGCACCATTCCCTGAATTAGATAGAGAACTTGATTGCTTCAACCTTTAGGAAAATCTTCATTTCAGTCAATCCTCTGGTGCCAGGGTGCCTTCCTGTTTAAAAATTAATTATATCTGGGGCTATGAACATGCGAAGAGTAGAGCAGATAAGGCAGTTTGGGCATCTGCATTCCTAACATTCATAAAATGCTGCCAAGGGGAAAATAAATATTTTGGGCCCATAGAGTATTGAGTAAGAAGAGTACTTGAGAGTTGTAATTACCTCATTTTCTCTAGTTTAGTTTGTATTTGTATAGTTTAAAGAGTCCTTGAGTGGTGCAAATGGTAAGCCTGCTCAGCTGCTAACGGAAAGGTTGGAGATTCAAGTCCACCCAGAGTCACCTCAGAAGAAAGGCCTGGCAACCTACTTCTGAAAAATCAACCATTAAAAACCCTATGAGCAGAGTTCTACTTTGACACACATGGAGTCTCCATTGAGTCAGAGTCAACTGGATCAACAGCAAATAGTTTCCAGAGTTTAAGAATCCGGGTCCTTGATTTGTTACCCAAAGGAGAGAAATGTTACCCAAAGAGAGAAGATCGTACCCTTTTAGCTCAGTAATGAAGTCACTCTTGAAGTTCTCCCTTCAGCCAAAGATTAGACAGGCCCATAAAACAAAACTAGACTAAAGGGGCACACCAGCCCGTGGGCAAGGACTAGAAGGCAAGAGGGGGACAGGAAAGCTGGTAACAGGGAAACCAAGGTTGAGAAAGGGAGAGTGCTGACACATCGTGGGGCTGGTAACCAATGTCACAAAACAATATATGTACTAATCGTTTAACGAGAAGCTAGTTTGTTCTGTAAATATTTATCTAACTCACAATAATAAACAAATAAAGATCAAATAGAGAAGAGTGTTACCTTTTGTAGTGGCTCCAAGAGAAATCCAATGGCAACGATGACAATCAACACGATGATGGCAGAGAGAATCCCAGCAATCTGTGAAGACCAAAAAAAAAAAAATCTTATCACAAGCTCAGCATTTTCTCTGGCTCAGATTGTCCAGTTACTAGTGCTAGGATGGTCCACACAACAAAGACCTTGAAGTACCTGCGTTTTGCCTCCTGTACTCTCCTGGACCCCTGATCTGGAAAGGGCGGTACTCGATGCAAATCCTCTGAAGAATCCACAGACTATGTTACTCAATCCGAAGGCTATTAACTCCTGACAGAAGAACAAGGAGGGAACTTTTAGAAGTGGCACTATTACAATTAGGTACAAAATATTATTTAAAGTTGCCTAATTAGACCCAGTGCAAGTTGTATACTTACCTGATTGCCATCAACTGGATAATCGTATTTGAGGGAATAGACGCTGGCAACTGAAAAGGCCACTGCAAAGCCAACGACTGCAATGGCGAAGCTATCGCCTATGGTGTTTTGGAAAACCTCCACGTCAGGTGCAATAGGGGACTGAAATCTGAAATAGAGATTAAGCAAGCCTGAATGTAGCCAACCTGCTTGTAATTCTTCAATGGCATCTATTTGCTCTTATGAAAAGTCCAAACTCAGCCCCACCTCTCCAGCTTAATTGCTATCATTTCCCAAATTTATCCTCCAGCCAGACCAAGCTTCTTTTTGTTTCTTGAAGGTGTCACTCTTTCACCTTGGAGCCTTCCAATTAATGTTCCCTCTGTCTGAACCATCCCTCTAATCCCCATCCTTTCATCCAGAAAGTCTCCCTTGACCATAAAGTCAGGATTAGGCAAGATTCTCCATGCTTTGCCAGCTCCTGCTGGGTATTCTGCACACATCCCTGTAACTCTCTACCCAGACTTAGAGCAGGAACTGTGACTGTCTGATCCACTGTACCATGTCAATAGTCAGACACTCTTCTTGGCATATAGTAGGTGACTGTTGGGAAATGAGTGAAATCTAGACTGACTTGTACCTCACTTTGGACTATCACCTAAAAGAATTTAGCGCCACTGAAAACTTTGGAATCTGCTATCTTATTGTTGAAAAGCAGTACTGCCTGAATTTGATACAAGATTATAAACCCAGTCCAACGATAGTGGTAAATCTATGTTTTCGCCAGTATAACCACATTATCATGTACACTTATATCCTCATAAGCTTCATGTAAAATATGTTAGATTCCACTTGTATTGTTACATTGGATTGCAAAGCATTACCCACAATCCCTCCATTAGTTATCCACGGCTGAAGGTTCTTTGAGCAAACACAATCCTGAGACAAGGAAAGCAAGAAAGTCCTCCCTCTATTGAAAACAATAACCTTTCATGGAAAACTCCTGGCAAACAGATGGGCCTTGGACTCTGCCCTGTGCTGGAGCCAACTGTGGCTGTGATGGAGAGTGGGTTCCAGTTTAAAGTGATAGAGTGTCACAGAAACTTCCAACTCAGAGAGGATACTTCTCTGTTTATGCTTCACGAACTTACAGCAGTGAAATGATATTTACTAATTGTATGACAAAAGGTACAAATATCTCAAGCTCAACATCCATTTACTGAAATGCTCAGCTCCTGTAAAAATCTATCTCTGACCTAAAACTTATTAGAAGAAGGTTAATTGAATCCATTCAACTTTTTCTGAAATAGTCCAAGTTTGGGGATTATCTATGTTAATGAAATTTCAGCTCTAATTTTGAAGAAGTACTACTGTCTCAAGGATCCCTGGTGGCGCAATGGTTAAGTGCTCGGCCTCTGAACACCACAGACAAGGTGATATGATGGAGATTTACAGTCTCAAAACTTGGGTTTACTTCCTGGCTATGCTTCTTCTCTCCCTGAACCATAGTTTCCTCATTTGTAAATGAAGACAATAAAGCTTGTTTTCTTTTCTTTGTAGTTTTGTGGGAGGGCCAAATAAAATCATAAAGACAAATAGTATTTACACACTATAAAATACAATGTGCCTGTTAGCGATTATTATGGGATCCCTTTGGAATGTGAATATATCCTTTGTGTTCCCTTTCAATGCTCGGTTCCATTCCGCCATCTTCATTCAATGTGTGTGACTTCACAAAATAACTTCTAAAGTGGTATACTCATTAACAACAGATTAAAAAAACTCATTGCCATTGAGTCGATTCTGACTCATAGCGACCCTATAGGACAGGGTAGAACTGCCCCATAGGGTTTCCAAGGATGTAATCTTTATGGAAGCAGACTGCCACATCTTTCTCCCATGGAGTGGCTGGTGCATTCCAACTGCTGATTAACCGCTAATAACCATTATTTTCAGTTAGAATTTATTTGCAATGATCAGAAATGTAAAAGGCCCACTCAGTCATCAACCAGGAAAAAATTAGAGTATAGAAAGCATGTAAAGCTCCTAGTACCTAATTTAGGTGCTAAATTAGCAATAGGAGTAATGAAAGTTGAACATTTATTACGGGCCAGGCACTGTTCTAAGCACGTCACAGGTATTATCTCACTTAATCCTTATAAGAATCCTCCGTGATAGCTACTATTTTTAGCTCCATTTTACAGCCAAGGACATAGATGCACAGAATTTAGTAGTTTTGCTTGAGGTCAAGAAGTGAGTCAAGAATAAATCCCAGGCACTCTGCTTCTAGAATATGCAGCTTATCTGCTAGGTGGCCCTGCCTCTCTGTAGAGTGGAATGCTTAATAAACGCGAGCTGCCCCCTCCTCCCACCCACACACCTTGTAGAAAGAGGTCCATGACATTTAAAATATATTTACTAAGTGGGGTTTCCAAGATTGTAACTCAGTGATGTTAAGTTTATCTTTTATTTCAAAACCCTTCTGACAAAATCCGCTTTAAACTCATTTTTTTTCCTATTTGGTTTATGTCTCCCAATACATTTAACTAAAGTGCAATCACTTAAAAGTTGAAAGGTGGAAACCCTAGAAATCATCTTTCAGTTTCAGCCTAACTTCCTCTTAAAAACTCTGTAAGATTAAAAGTGATGGTTTACATTCATTAAGTATAACAGATGACGATCTGGTGATAAAAATGTTTTTGGCTTAAAAATATATATATACTTGTTTTAAAAGAATTTGGATATTTTAACATTAACCTAATACTGACTTCTGGGATTCTCAAATGCTTGTTCAGGCAGGGTAAGGTAGTGGAGGGAGAGAGAGCTTTTTCATTTTAACAGGAAAGCAACTTTTCCTTGGTAAGCAAATAAGAAGAAATTGATGCTATCTCTGGTCAGAAGGCAAAGAGAGGAAGAAGAGGGCACAAAACTGGATCTCCCTTCTCAATCCGTTAAATGCAATGAAATACATTTTCAAATTCCTTGTACACACAGGCCTCCCAGCCTCCTGCAGCGGTAAGTTGCTCTGGTCTTGTTTTGAATGCGATCATGAGAAAGGACAGAGTGTGCCTCTCTGAACTATTCCAGCACTGCGGGTCTTCCTTAGTATCTCTTTTGAACTTTCAGAACTTGGCTCCAGTAACCCCAAACAAAACACTACTTATTGTTTATAGTAATTTACAGATGAGGAAATCTGGTTTCATTTGGTATTTCGTTATGGGGAGAAATGGGTATATGTTGCCTGTTTTTCTACTTTCACTAATTTTTATTCAGGTGTGAGTGCTTGCTCGTCATCTGGCTTATGAGTTCTTCCACAAAGAGAAACTTTCTGATATTAACTATGGACTTTTACCATGTTCGTGGCCCCTTCCTAGGAGAGAAGGGAACCTTTCTCACAGATGCCCGGAGCAGAGAGAGTTCTGACACGGGTTCATGCATTTCAGTTCCTACGACTCTCTCAGTAACTACTGCTTACACTCTGATTAGTGTTTACAGATGCCATCATAAAAGACTCACCCTTTTTGCATTTTCCCAATGACAGCCGCATTAAACCTGTTTTTGAAGTCAAAGCCATAGGATACACCTGTTGCAATCACAGTCTGCAAAGTTGCAAAATTACCCGAATTAGAAATCTGAGATAAAATGAAGAGTCTTGCATTGAAAAAATACCATTGCCAGACCCCACCCCTAGGCTTGTTAACTAAAGATCTCCAGGCCCAAGCTTTGTTACTTTTTAAAAGGTCCTGAGGCAATTCTGGAGTCCCTAGGTGATGCAAATGGTTAACATGCTTGGCTGTTAACTGAAACGTTAGAGGTTGAAGTCTACCAAGAGGCACTTCAGAAGAAAGGCCTGGTGATCTACTTCCCAAAAATGAGCCATTGAAGGCCCTATGGAGGTGTCTCCATGAGTTAGAGTTGACTCAGGGCAACTTGTTTTATTTTGCTTTGTTTTTGAGACAATTCTAATGTACTGCTGCCAGGTTGGAAACCACAACTCTAATTCAAATGGGTCTATCACCATGCCATCTCAGACATCTTGCTCTCTGTACCATCCATGTCTTACATGGAAAGAACAAACTGAAAGGTGTAAAAGAACGTTATTAAATTCTGAATGACTAAGCACTATGTCCAGAAATTGCAGAGATGGCATCTCGGTCCCATAAAAACCTCCTGATCTACAAATGCTGAAGGACTTTCAACGTAAACACACTAGACTAACAAACTATGAAAGAAAAGTCTTAAGATGTTCAGTTACCACGATGAGTTCAATCGGAATGGGCACTGGAAGTTTGGCTTTGTAGCGCTGGTTTATTTCTTTAACCACAAATACTACCAACAAAATAATCAGGGCTGTCACCAGGTCTGCAATGTTAGTCTTCTCTATTTGTGAGAATACAGAATGTAGAACCTAAAATTATAAAAACAAAAACCACTCAAGTCCTATATTAATGTATAATTTGGATTCAACACTTAATTCCAAATAGATAAAAATTAACATTTAAGAAAAAGTACCGACATAGATTGATAGTGATTCTGTGTTTTGCTCATGTTAACCATACAAGTGACATTGTAGAGACCAGCATGCAGTTGTGAGGAGGGTAAGTAAGCACAGAGAGGGCAGTGGTGGTTCAATGGCAGAATTCTCCCCTTCCATGTGAGAGACCAGGGTTTGCTTTCCAGCCAATACACCTCGTGTGTAGCTACCATTCGTCTGTCAGTGGAGGCTTGTGTGTTGCTATGATGTTAAACAGGTTTCAGTGAAGCTTCCAGACTAAGAAGGACCAGGAAGAAAGGTGTGGCAATCTACTTCTGCAAATCAGCCAGTGAAAATCCTATGGGTCACAACATGGGTTTGCCATGAGGTGGGGGCTGACTCAGTGGCAACTAGCAACAACAAAGTAAGCATAGTGTGGGCACCACACTGCTGTAAGGATGCTTCTGGCATTTTTGCTGGGAATCTCTTAGGCTAATGCCAAATTTTATTGGATAGTTTTTCCCATTTTTACAACTGGTCTCTTCTGCTCTTAGGTCTCTTTGGTCATTGTTATGGATTGAATTGTGTCCCCCCAAAATATGTGTTGTAAATCCTAACCTCTATGCCTGTGGTTATAATCCCATTTGGGAATGAGTTGTCTTTGTTATGTTAATGAGGAAGGATTAATATGGGGTGTGTCTTGAGTTGATCTCTTTTGCGATATAAAAGAGATTAAACAAGCAAGCGAATAAGCATAGATGGGGGAAGAGAGATGCCAAGCCACATGAAAATTGCCCAGGAGCAGAAGCTCAGAAGAGACAAGGACCCTCCTCCAGAGCTGACAGAGAGAGATAAAGCCTTCCCCTAAAGTCAGCACCCTGAATTTGGACTTCTAGCCTTGTAAACTGTGAGAACATAAATTTCTGTTTGTTAAAGCCATCCACTTGTGGTATTCCTGTTATAGCAGCACTAAATAACTAAGACAGTCATCATTTCTTTATTTCACGATAATCACTACTGATCTGACCAGGGAATAACCTCTGGTCCCTGATAGTTTTTTTCTTAGCATGCATCCCCTTAATTCCTGGCTTCCTTTAGGTCTATACCTTTTACATTTCTTAGCCGACACTGCTTGTCACCTTTGGAAATGATTGCCTGGCTAACTGTGCCCTATGCATAGTCTGACTTCTAGAAACCAGTTGACTTCCATACCCATAGGGCCCATGACACCTCAGGCAGGTCCAAGTTGGCTCCCGAACTGCTCCTAGGGTACACTGATTCTGGAGCAGCTTTGGATGAAAGCAGAGCGTATTAGTTCCAGATTGAAACAAGCTCTGTCTCAAACTCCCAGAGACTATTTGCTAGAAGTGCTAAGAGCAGGATCTGCTCCTTTTACACATCAGCCATTTCCTTTTGCTTTATAAACAGGGACTTGTACAAGGTTCAGAAGAACCTTAATTCTAAAATAACAAGACCTGCTTTTTGAGACATAAGAAAACATTATAACTCAATTAGCAAAATTCTTTCAAGTTTTCAAATGGGAAAATTTTTAAAAATTGGAACAAAATATTGAAGCTTTCAGCAATGTACTTAGATATTTTTAAAATACTCAAGAGTCAAATCTAAGAAATAACACTTAATCGCTGTTGCTAATGTTAGCTGTATGGTAGAGGTGACTGATTTTTAGTGTTCTTCTCTTTGCCACTTACTTTTTCTTGATGTGAATAAATTTTACAACCCATTGATTTCTTGCAAGCTGTAGGTAAGCCCCACAGGAAAGGCATTTAAAGAAAGGTCTCCAAAAACAAAATAGTGAGTTTCATATATTTCAGTATTTTTTAAAGGAAAGGAATACTTACTTTGAAAATTGAAAATGGATCAGTGTGTGCTGGGACTGTCAGCTGAAGAATAAATTTGAGCTGGGAGACCAAAACATGAATTGCGGCAGCTGTGGTGAAGCCACTGATTAGGGCATCGGACAGGTATATCACCACAAATCCGGTCCGTAGAACCCCCAAGATCAACTGGAAAGAGAAGGACAAAGGCCTTTGTTACGAGGACACTTCAGCAAAGTCAAGGATCTGCAATTTAAATGATTTAAAATGTAAAGGTTCAGCCTGCTCCTGTATGCCTTGAAGAAGCAGATCCCCGGTCTTCTGAAGCCCTTTCCAGGGCTCTCCCCACCCCCATGGAATGTTACACGGTGCTCAGTAGGATGAAAGTCTAGTAGACACATAAGAAGTAACAGGCTTATTCTCCTCATCCCTTTTTTTTTTTGAAGCGCAATATCTTTAGAAGAGTCTTTCATAAACCTTTTATAGCAGAATCTTATCTGGCATCAGCCCTCATAAATTTGCCCACATAATTTTAAGTTATACTTTCCAGCTGCTGTAGCATGTGTAGGCAAGTGTCCATTCATAGTCCCTCAAACAAGTTTCTAACTTGCATATGTCCAGGTGTACTCTGGACATCATAAGTGTACTCTGGACATTAGAATTGCACGGTTTTAACTGGAGAACAGAGGTGGTTAATTCCCCCACAACACTGGTGTTTTGCAATAATCTTGGATACCTGGCCTGTCTTTCCACTCACGTCTCATGGAACGCAGCTGGAGCTATGAGCACACAAAAGCACTAGGTCCAAAAAAGGTATTCTGACCACGATGTTTGTCAATAGGAAACACCACTATGTCCTTGTAGAAATCAACTTTTTCTTTCTTTAGGGGTATCTTATACAATAATATCAGTAACCATAAACTTAGACCATATCCTGAAGTGTCTATGAGATCTTCATTATTCAACTACTGTGTCAGGGGTGGCTTGGGAGGGAGGCTTTAATTTCCTCCACAGTCCTTGTCAGCTTCTCCCAAATCTTTAATGTGCATAGTTCAAAGTGCGAAGTCTCCACCCCTTTCATTTAGGTTACAGTCTCTAAAGAATTAGAAAAACATTTCAAAGCCTTCACTGTCACTATTACTTGTGTATAGCTATTTTTAGTGACTGTCAATCCCCAGGTATTGTATTTAATTGGGCATTTCACTCCTCACCACATGTGGCTCCCTGTACCCATTCTTCCTCCTGTCCAGAACTGTATTCACTCATCTTTGCAATGTGGATCTGCCCCTCTACTTCTGGTAGCAGTGAGTGTCCCTTCTTAAATTATTTGGCTGTAGGCCACTGAAGGAGGGATACCAACCAAAAGGAAGAGTAGGGAGGGCTGGCAGGAGGGAGAAAAAATGAGAAAAATGTGTACCAGTCAGGACGAGCCGACTGAGGAGGATAGGTTTCAGGAGAAAGTACTTACCTGGATGATTCCAGAAAGGACTGTGATCGTTGCAGCCACCATCACCCTCTGTTCGTCCAGTGTTGTGCCATTACTCATTGAGCTATTAGAGAATTCTGTAGCAGATTCACTGGTATCTGGGGCTATTCTCACAACTACTGCTCCCACCATCATACTCAGAACTGGAAAGGGACCTAATTAACACAGAGGATGAATCGTGGTCAAAATATGCCTCCCTAAAGCATAATTGTCTTTCAACCATAATGTGAACATACGAAAAGGCTGCCATCTGTAACTCTGCCCTCCTTTCCCAAACTCCAGTCCTAATTTTTACAGGAAATGTTTGACTTTTCTCCCAGATGGTGTCCAATTTGGAGTTGGTAGAATTTGTGGCTAATAGAATTCATAAAGAAAAAGTAATGTGAACATTAATTAGCTCAGTAGCTCACTTACCCACAGATATGTGTTTAGAAGTGCCCAAGAAAAAGTAGACTATGACTGGGAAAAAGGCTGCATACAACCCATAGCCTGGGGGGATGGAGACCAACAGAGCAAATGCTAGACCTGTAAATACACAAGCAGTCGAGTCCTTATTTTGTGCAAGGGGAATCAGAAAAGTTCTCTTTAGTTTCTTCAAGTATTTAAGACTGGACCTTAAAAATAAGTTACCTTACTAACACAAAATGGATTAAAGACATTAATGCAAGAGCAAAAACAATAAAATTCTTAGAAGAAAATATAGGTATAAATCTTTGTAACCTTGGATTAGGCAATGGTGTCTTAGATAGGCCGTCTAAACCCTAAGCAACCAAAGAATAAAAGAGATAAATAGGACTTGGTCAAAATTTAAAAAAGGTATTTCAAAGGACACTGTCAAGAAAGTGAAAAGAAAACCTACGGAGTGGGAGAAAAATATTTGCAAATCAAATGTTTGATAAGGGTCTAGTATCCGGAATATATAAAGAACTCATGATTCAACAATAAAAAGGCAAATAACCCAGTTTAAAAATGGACAAAAGTATTTGAATAGACATATCTTCAAAGAAGATACATAAACTGCCAATAATCACATGGAAAAGTTACTCAACATTATTAGTCATCAGGTAAATACAAATCAAAACAACAGTGAAATACCTCTTCACATCTACTAGGATGGCTATAAACAGAAAGGCAGAGAATAACAAGTGTTGGTGAGGATGTGGAGAAATTGGAACCCTCATATATTGCTGGTGGCAATGCAAAATGCTGCAGCCACTGCAGAAGACAGTTTGACTGTTCTTCAAAATGTTACTATATGACCCAGCAATTCCACTCTAGGTATATACCCAAGAGAATTGAAAACATATGTGCATGGAAAAACTTACATACAAATGTTCATAATAGCATTATTCATAATAGCCTCCAAATGAAAATAATCCATCAACTGATGAATGGATAAACAAGATATGGTATATCCATACAATAAAATATTATTTGTCCACGAAAAGGAATGAAGTATTGATACATGTTGCAACATGAACAAATCTTGAAAACATGCTAAGTGAAAGAAATCAAACACAAAAAGCCATGTATTGTGTGATTTCATTTATATGGAATGTTCAGAATAGGAAAATCCGTAGGAAAGAAAGTAGGCTAGTGATTGCCAGGGATGGGGGAATGGGGGGAAATGGGGAGTGACTGCTAACGGGCAAAAGTTTTTTGGGGAGGGTCATGAAAATGTTCTGAAATTAGATGGCAGCGATGGTCATACAACCTTAAGAATATACCAAAAACCACCGTACATTTTAAAGGGGTAAATTTTAAGGTATGTGAATTACATCTCAATTAAAAAAAAAAAAAAGTTACCTTGCAGTACAGCCACCAGCCCTGTACTTATCCCAGAAACAATGTCACTGAGTAGCCATTCCTTTATCCGGTATGCTGGTAACCAAGATGCTACGGGGAACAAAGACAGGGCAATTCTCTTGGCCTTTTTTGAGGAGCAGCTGAAAACATGGAAAGCCACAGGTCAGTCAACTAATATTAAATTTTTAGTTCAGCACCTAATTGTAGGTGGAAAATTGGAAGGACTGGTAGGTGCCTTGGTAAAGAATCTAATATATTAACAATTAATATATTAGCACTTCCATTCCCACTAATAACTCACCTCCTTACCCATATCAGTCACTCCCTGGCCACTATCAAAGAATTTTTTAAAGAAAAGTGCTGCTTGTCTTTAGCTGTAACAGAGCTCATTTGTCATACTCAGCTTGAATTGTGCAACATTTCAATTGAGAATTTGTCTCTGTCCCCATCTATTAGGCTTCCGATTTGGAAAGACTGTGTTCATTTTAGAGACTACCTTCCCAACTCTGGTAGGCAGTGGGAGGTTTGGAAGCTAAAGATGAAAAGAATCTGTGGGAAACCAGCAAAGTCTGTAGCCTGTGGGCTAGAGCCAGGAAGGAGAGCCTGAAACTTGAAAATTTAGCAGGAAGTTCTTCATTTATTCCTAAGGCTAGTATCTTAAAAAATTTCTTACCTAAAACACTCTTTGAGATGATCCAGAAATGTCTTATGAGATCTGTCTTTCTTCTTATATTCTTCCCCAAAAGTGTTTTTAGAATACACTGGCCTGGCCACAATATACTGATTCCCCATGGATTCGATCATTTTCCTTTCCCTGGTGGCTGTGCAAGTGGAGGACCCTTGGAACAACTGTGGCAAACGCTTCTTCTTGCCTTTGGAAGGTTAAAATGCCTGAAACCAAACAGAGCTTGCTTCTTAAATAACATAGAGACAATGTGATGCAATTTACAGATGAGTGAGCGCCGAACTGAATGTTACCACCTTTTGAGATCAAAAGAGGAAGGATTAAGGGACCTAGACTGTGTTTTGCCACAGTGATACCACTTTTTACTCCAACGAGCTGGACAGAGCTCCTTTGGGTAAGTAAACAACAGCTTTTATTTTACTTTTTGAAAAAGATTGCCAAAAAGTAATAAAAATGGACTCCATTTACTAATAGGTCAGTCAATTTTTTACTTATAAAGTAAGCTCTTCTCATCACGAAAAGGCGTTTACTTTAAATTTTTTTTTCTAGAGAAGTATCCAAAGTTTGGCACTGGAGTACAGGAACAGATTAGATTTAAAGTCTAGTCACTGCCCCTAACTCCCATCAAAGCTGTTCCAATTTACCTGTTATAATCTTTGTAATAAGGAGTCCTGGTAGGCAATGGTTAAGCACTCGGCCACTAACTGAAAGGTTGTTGGTTTGAACCTACCTCCAGGAGAAAGACTTGACGATCTGCTCCCATAAAGATTACAGACTAGAAAACTCTATGGGGCGGTTCTGCTCTGTCTCACGGGGCTGCTATGACTCAAAATTGACTTGACAGTACCTAACAGCAACAACAATCTTTGTCGTATCTTATAAAATACTTTTAACTCGTGAAATTCAAAGATATTGTCCATTTATTTTTCTATTGTTTCTGGGAGTTAGAAAGTTTTACAGTTTACAGTTGAGTAAACTATGACATGAAGTAAATATACGCATTCACTAAATGGTAGTTATTATTTTAACTACTAGCATTTTCTGCACAAAATGTTTAATTTTTTTATTCTTGTCTCAATTCTGTTCCTATTATACTTTAAAAATCATTTTTACGAAGTATTACAAAATCTTTTTATGCACATTACTGTTCAGCCCTCACAATTATTTGAGGCACTTACTATGTACCATTATTATTATTCTCTTCTTACAAATGAGAAAATCCTACCACACACCCCCCTGAAAAAAACTAAGTAATTTTTCATACAAGTCATACAGCTGTTGAAAATGGGGCTCCATTTTTAGACTTCCTTTGCTATTTCTTCTATAACACGTGGCTTTTCTGTTTACCAAAATGAACATAATTGGGGAACATCCCGACTGTTACCATTAAAAAAATCTTAGTTCTGTGCTACCACCAATAATGTCCAGAGTTTTGTTCCCTGACCTCAATCACAGTTATTAAATTATCTCACACTAAATTGCCCGTGTTACTCGGTGCTGTTTTACAGATCAAAGGATTTTTAGCTTGTTTGCAGAGCTCAAAGTTATAGGCAGGAATCAGATGCTAGCTCTATCTCCTGGCCTTGCCTGACCTGTCTCTGACCACCAGCTCTCTCCCCAGTTCCATTCCCTAGCCTCCTCTATCTTCCCCTGCACTGGCTCTCTCAGACAGTAATGTAGTGCTTCTGCCCCCTCTCTGGCTTGACCTCCATAATTTGAGTCCCTTTGAGCTTGTTATGACTTTTAGATGCACTTTGGTTGGCTATTCCTTCTGAGCAGCCCCTTGCCCAGCTGCTTGTCCTCCCTGTCTCCCATCTCTATCCTCTTTCCTTCCCACCCCCTGTTCCAGGTATCGTATTCCATTAACTCTATAGTATTTCCCATTGTCAGAAGAACTTGTTGTTGAAGTGGAGTTGGCTTGCCCATCACTATGCATGGCTTGAGCTTTTGCCCTTTTTGCCAATTACCAACAATATAGGTGAGTCATTAATATTAAGATCTAACCCATGTCAATGACTCCTGACATCTTGGATATCTTGCTAAGGCTCTCCAGAGTGTCTTTCAAGATCAGCTTTACTCCTGTGAGGTATCCTGCCTCGCCAACCTCAGGATGAAGAAGACTAAAGTACTGAGTATTTTTATTTCTCTCGGATGCTGCCATGAACAAACACATCAAAAAAGACTCCACTCTTTTGTTGCTTTCTTCACGTTTTTACCAAGGATTCACAGAAACTCATCAGTTCTGTTCCTAATAAAAGACCCTGAAGGTACTTCTTTTCTTCCTTTTTCTATAGTACATTTTAAGTCACGGCCTAATTTTTTGCCAGTGACAGTGATGGCAGAAATAACTTCATTTCTATTTAACTTCCTTCTCCGAGAATGACCGCAGCTTGTTCGTTAGTGATCCCCTCACGCCTCCAGCTGCAACAAGGGCCTGAACTCTGCTCATCCTGCCAGAGACCTGGAAAAACCCCCTCCTTGCACTCAAGCACTGCCTAAAAGGAAAGGGCTCAAAGGGCAGTGTAGAAATCTTTCCAGAACTTGGAGAGAGAGGACTTGAGGGCCGCATTGCAGTCTTTTTTATTTTTTCCTAGCTCCCATCCATGCTCCTAAAAGCTGCTGCCTCATGTTCCACGTGTAACAAGTTAGCCCCTAAGCTGACCACCATGGTGGTACCTCTGCTGAAGAGAAGCTCCAGATGGTCACAAATTAATGTCACTCTCTATTTCATAATTGCTGGGATTCTTGGGAATTCAAAGAGATTTTCTTAATTTTTTTTTTTTTACCTGATCAAGTTATCTTTTCCCCAGCAATTCTTGGAAAATATTTTTTTCCTGTTTCTAGTATCACAACTCCATTTTCAATTATTACGCCCATGTTAATGTGTACCTTTTCATATTCTGTTTTATCTTTTTGACTAAAATTTCTCTCCGATGTCGTTAGGGTATTAGTGACTTTTGGAGGATTGAAATTTACTCTCAGGGAAATTCAGAAGTCCAAGCCTTATTTTCTTTTTTGTATACATTCCCACTTCTGTTTCATTTCCTATGATGTGCTCTTTTTAATTTTTTTTAGCTTTTATGCTTATATACGTGTGTGTATATCCATACATAAATGTACACATATACATACATATACATACATACCATGGTGCTGTGGTTTAGTCATACACATTTATTTTTCTTTGCTTTTTTTTCCCCTCTGAGCAGAAATTTAATCCTGGGATTAATTTCTGAAGTTTGATTTTCTCAACTATTCCAGTAACTTTTAGATATTTCTAGGGATGGTCATGTACATACCACCCACCCTAAGTTCCACCTGTCTCCAACCTGCAGCCCAAGCCTGGCCTCCAGTTACCTGAGAATCTCCACTCTGCTGGCCCCACTCCACTGAGAAGTGTCTTATGGCCTTTCTCCTCCTCAACATTTATCTATTCAGTGTTCTAGTCTTTCAGGGGTCTGCTTTCTCCTGGGAAACAACTATTTTGAACCCAGACACTCATAACTGATAATTAGCATTTGTTTTTAATTAATGGTAATTTGAAACCAGGAGGCCAGCAGGTGTGCAGAAGAACATTTCCCAGGCATTCCCCCCAGTCATTTTATATGCATCCGCCACTCATGCAGCAGGCAGCCTCTCAAAGACACCACCCCTCGTTAGCCATTCAAGTTAAGGAGGGTCTTCATGGAGACGCCACTAAAAATGCCACACTATGTCTGAAATCTGCTGAGAACGCTGCTCTTTTGATCGATCTCAGAACTCCCCTGTGCCAGTCAGCGGAAAAGAAGAGGTAAGCCAGCCCTATTCATGAGTAAGTCCTTCGACAACGGAGAAGTGCAACAGTCTCCTGATAACTGTACTTGGGGGAAGGAGTGAAAGGTAGGAGAATAAACAGAATTACTCCCTTGAGCACCTTGAGATGCACCCAAACAGCAGCTGAAGAGAGACCAGAAATCAAGGGCACAAAAAGCCCTACATTCTCTTTGATGTCAAGCTGGCGAGAAGCAGGGAGACCATCGCACCAGAATCAGAGAAGGCCAGAGTGGTGATTAGGAGTAACTGGGGCTGGAGTGAGCGGGTCTCAGTGCTAATACTGATGAAGAGAGGTCAGAAGGGGTCAAGGGCTGGGGCAGGCAATGATTTCTAGTTACATGCTGTGACTCCTGTGTGCTTCAGTTACTTTTGAAACATAGCAGGGTAATTAATTAATTAAGCTGCATCATAGATGTGTACCTGAGCTGAGTAGCTATTTCTTTGGGAGAAATAAATGAACCCATAATCATTTAGAATATGAAAAACCCTCCCGTTTTTCCTTATGCTTAAAGGTAGGCAGTTCAAACTACCTAGCAGCACTTTGGAAGAAAGGCCTGGGAATCTGCTTCCATAAAGATTACAGCCAAGAAAACTCTATGGAGCAGTTTTACTCTGTATCATGTGGCTCAATGGCAAGTTCTGTTTTTTAATTTTTTTATTGTACTTTAGATGATTGTTTACAGAACAAATAGTTTCTCATTAAACGGTGAGTATGCATATTGTTTTATGACATTGGTTAACAACGCCACAACATGTCAACACTCTCCCTTCTCAACTTTGGGTTCCCTATTACCTGCTTTCCTGTCCCCTCCTGCCTTCTAGTCCTTGTCCCTGGGCTGTTGTGCCCCATTAGTCTGATTTTGTTTTATGGGCCAGTCTAACCTTTGGCTGAAGGGTGAACCTTGAGAGGGACCTCATTACTGAGCTAAAATGGTGTCCGGGGAACACTTTTGGGTTTTGGTGGTGATGATCCTTTGAAAGCTATTAGCATCCTCACAAGTCCTTCCAGATTGTTTTTGCAGCCAGAGTCTTTCCCTGGAGAGAGAGAATAAGCTGACTTATAGAAAGGGTTCGAAAGCGGTGGGACTGGGGTAAAGATCCTAAGGGTGTGGAGGCAGTTCCTCCCCAGAGTCCCAAAGCAAGGTGGCGAAAGGAAAAGTTTAGAATTTTTTTCCCTAAAATAATATGGATACTTCAGACAACTCTAGTTCACGGCCATTGTGGGCAGGAACATAAAATGTGACCTGCATTTCTAATTCAAGAAGTCTGTGTTACTTATTTAATTTATAGTGGCCATATAACATCT